GATGCATAATTAAAGGATAAAATTGGGATATGGAGGCGAAAATGCTTAGTGAATCACCCTGTACGGCTGTACCTAAATATATTATAATAATATATACCTAGCTACTATCCACGCTGTCGTGCCACTGCAGGGAAGTACTGAAAGACCCAGTCCTTGCTGTTATTAATTATAATGCAATTTATTCACCGAAGACATTAACGCAGTATGACACGAATCAAACAGTAGGTACTTACATAGCCTTACTTTGCTAATTACAAAAATTAAATACCTAATGATGATACAAAATAATAATTAAAATAAAATTACGAAATTCTGACCACAAAACCATCCGACGCGGGAAAGAATCTTGAAGGCTGATTTATATCCATATAGTTATGAAATCAATTTTTACATAAGATAAAGTAATAAAGGAAATCTAGCCAATTTTTTTTTTTTGGCTTGAGGCTTCGTAAACTTAGGTCATAGGCCTGTGGAACTGTGGGGGCGGAGGGTACTGTAGGTTTTGAACACTTGAGTGTTTGTTTTAGCAGAATTTTTAAGTGGGCACCCGTAGGTATCTGTAATAGTGTAATGCCAGAGTGGGGGATGGCGAACTGTGCCTATGTATTTTTAATATTTTTCAACTGTTATAGTAACAATATATCAGGAGCATTATATTAAATTTTCACACCTTTTTGACCCAATGAATAACATTTTATTGAGAATTACTTATATAGAAAAAAAAACTAAGAAAATTGTAACTATTATAATATGTCTGTAAACGGTTCAAAACAAGTCAAAATATTTTGAAAATTTTACCAAGAATAGGAATTGATAAAATAAAAATATGGTGTAAATCACAAGTACCTATCTACAGTTATTTATTTTTGATTACAACAATATAAGAAAATATCTAGGTACATAAGAAATCGAGTGAATATCCAATGTTGTAAAATTATAAACTTCAAAGGCTCATAAAAACGTAATTTGACTTTCTTGTAGACATTTTTTTTTATAAAGGTAGGAAAACTTATAAGGAATCTTATATTATATTTTCAAATCTTAGATTTAAAAAAAAAAATTTCATGAATTTCCAACTCAAAATAATTTGCAAATTTTCTTGTTTTTTACTTATTTTGTCAAGATATGAACTTTACATTCTTGTAACCCTCAAACAAAGAGTCACTAGTGGGTGACTTCTAAATCACGTCTACCATGTTCTTTTTTTAAGTTTCTTATCAGTTATCACATACATAGGTACTTATTATGCTAAGTACCGTGTAATGTGTATAGATCGTATATTTCTTATAATAATAATAAAAAAGAAAAAAAATTGTGACTGGATTTTTAATATTTTTCCATTGTGATTGTAACTAGGTATACCTATATTAGGAACCTTGTATTAATTTTTCAAGCTTATTTACAACAAAACCTAAAATCGATTTTGTCAAACCCCTATTTTGCATAAAAATTCCCGTTTTTTCTTAATTTGTATGTTGTTTTTCCCGGCGCTTATGAAAACTATTGTTAATTTCAACCTCCCGAATGCACCAACTATAACGAACTATAGATTCACTTTCCCATCGAATAAGATACTGTTGAAGAAAATCGAAGCAGTTTTACTGCCATAAACAGTGATGTAGACACAAAAAAAAACACGCATCTTGGTCAAATCAATAGATCCGCTCAGAATCTAAATAATAATAATAATTTTTTCTTCACAGTTACTTTGCTTATAAGTTATAAGTTACAATGGTTTAAATTTGAATACTTAATTTGGTGGCTAATGGTATTCGATTGACGACCACTATTACAATAAAATTAGAAATCTGTAATTAACTCAGATTAAAGAACAAGTTTAGGTAGGTGCCTAACACCAATATTGAGATAAATGACATTGACTATTTAGGTAATTTTTTTAATTATTCTTATACAACTATGCACGTGGCACGTCAGGTAATTTTGTATTAATTAACTTCCAAATTAAGATGATTCACATACGACAATAAGTTTAACAATGAGGTAGGTGTATATTCATTATTCACAATATAATATAGGTACTGTTGTGTGTATTGGACCTACCTACCTATATAATATGTAGGTATCTACAAAGTATAATCGTATAATTCTATTAAGGAAATATGTGCATTTTAAAAAACAAAGCAATTTCATAAAAGTTAATTTATTGCAATAAACATTTTACCTAACTTCGTATAAATTTATATTTGTTAGTAAATAATTAAGAAATTGAAAAAAAAAACAATTTTAAATAGGGAAGTGTGTACAATATACATATATTATGTTATATTATATGTATATTATGTATAATATTATATGTATATAATATAGGTACCTATTAATTACTATACATCATAAATAATCAAGAGATTGAAATAAAATAATAAAATACAACTATTCAATGTTCAAAAACACTTTTGTTGTAACTTGTAACACATTTTAAAGAATAAAGGCAAATTAATTTAAGAATAAGGCGGTAGAGTATCGCAGACAAACAGACAAAATAATAATAAAATAGATCTACTCGATAAAAAACCAATTCAATTTTATAAGCACTTATATTATTAAGTTATTAAAGGTAGGTACTAAATACTAGTATTTAGGTATTATGTAGTTGTTAATAATAAATTAATAACGTATATAGAATGCAGATCATAAACATAATTTGTTTACAATTATTTTTATTAATATGTTTTTATTTTGCCAATATTGAATCTAATATTCGTACAAACGTACAATATTGCATAAACTATAAAGTATAAAACTTTTTAAATTATTGTATAACTTAACCATTGTATTATATACTCTGCAGAATAGTCATAAGTACAATCATACAATATAATATTTATTTTATAAATATGAATTTTCTATAATAGTATAATTCTTTATTATTAAGTACCTGTAAATGTTCATTTAGTAAATAAGTTTTGGTTGTTTCAATAACTTGTTAAAATCAAAATATTTTATTAAGTAGTAGGTATATCGTAAATATATATTGTTTTTTATATTCAATATTTATATATATGTATATTTCTTAACTTTATTAAAGAAACTATATTCTAATTTCTAATATTACGTTTAATAGGTACATCAATATAGTTTAAAATGATAGTTAAGATTATAATTTCTATACAAAGACACAAATTACATAATGACATAAATATTTAAACTTTATTATTATTAAACAAATTAAATATAACTATCAATAAAAGACACATAAATAATTTAAATATAGATTAGGCAACACACATATATATAAAATCCATAAATTATTTGTTAGTTTAAATATATATAAATACATTTTGGCACAAATCATGTAGTATAAAATAAATCCTTTAAGTTATAATTTTGTAAATGTGGGAAACATATAATTATGATAACCACAGGACAATGAAATTAAAATTAACTAAGTTTTTTTATTCATGATATTATGAAATTATATGAATTTGAGTACCTGTAATAAAGGGTGTTAATTCTTGTAACAGTAAACACTTATTATCTTTAAAAGTATGAACGTTTTTAAAAAATATTTTTTTTACATAATTTGAAGTTTACATTACAAAACGGTTTTTCTTTTGTAATAATTTTTTTAATTTTTTTTTTTTAATTTCCTATTCTGAACAAAAATATCTTTCTGAGAATTAGTTGTTAATATTTGAAGTTTTGATGAGTGAAATATGACTTATGAGTCGTGAAACAAAATTTTCTGGAGTAACCTTGCAGTGCTACCCTACCAGTAACAGATCCTGATTATTCCTGAAGTCACTCAAGGGAAGGGTGGCGAATTTTCAAAAATTAAATTACCTTTTTTTAGCCAAATATTATAATAAAAAATAACATTAAAAAGACAGCCCAAGTGGGCAAACTCCCCTTGACCCCGCCTTTTATCAGCCACTGTATAACACTATAATAACTGGTTAAAAATTAAATTATTAAACAAAGAAAGTATTTCACTCAGAAAAATAATGTTGAGGTAGACACCCTCACCTAAACCATATGTCAATCAAAACAGTAAAAAACTTTTTTTAAATCGTAATAATTAAATTGTTTACTAAACCTTTTGTTTGATAGTTATATCAAGTTATGTAAAAAAAATATTTTTGCATTTTAATATTTGTTGAGGTAATGAGTAAGTTTACTGTTAAAAGCATAATCTTGTACATAAGTATATATATATATACATTGAGTTTTATAATTATTTGTGTGTACTTCAATAATAAATAGTTATTTTATAAATGCTATAAGCTATAAATTGCATTAAATAGAATTAACAAACATGATTATCCAGTATCTTTAAGCTGAAATTTTAACCAAATATTTAAAAACCTATTTTATCACTCATTAGTTTTAAATTGTAGGTAATAAACTAAATTATTTTATAGTGAATTTTCAAACTGTGCATGAACAATATATTAGTGTTTAAAAAATGTAGGAACAGAAAAAAAGTTGAATTTGAATAAAAATATTATAATAATTTAAAGATTCCTAGTAAATACCTAATAGGTACAATAATGTATCATGTATATTAAATAATTCAAATAGTTAAACATCTCATTGGTTATGGTGATTATTTGAATTTTAATAGTTAGATTGGCGTCAATTTAAATAGAACTTTATACGGATCTCAAGTTAATTCATTTTTGTTAAAATGCTTTTATTTTTGAGCATAGGCGTGCGCGGATAGGATTTGAATTGTATATTAAGAATTATATTATGCTCACATTATTGTTAAAGGTAACTTTAGATTATAATTGGTCCTTAATAATAATAATTGTATATATAATAATATGATATTGTTGTTTTCAAGTAAAATTCATTTTAGTAACCATCACAGTCTTTTTATTAGAATAAATCTGATTGTTTAATGTCAATAAGAATTTAATAATTATAATCTATAATTAATTAGACGCAATATCCAATTAATAACAAAATGGAAGTTTTTGTTTAAATAAAACCAAGGTTAAGGCTAATGCGCACGCCTATGAACTTGGAGTTCTCTCGGATCAAGTTTTGTCAGAACCAACTAGATCGCTAGATCCAATGGAGCTAATAGTCGAGCTGGAACCATGATGTGTGCCCGAACTTTGCACCGACATGGTTCTTTCAGCCGTTACGGTGCCAATTGTACTACTGATGCCCATCAGTCCATGATAATTACCCATTCTCAAGGCCCTCTTCAATTTGTCGGGATCGACACAGGAGGGGTCTGCCTAGAACAATAACATCATGAGCACTTATTCATGAACCACTAGAACTTGAGTAGGTACTATAATAACCATATTTTAATGAAATTTGTTGCGCACCTGATACGCTAATGATGTCATGATCACTTCGTATGGAACCAGTTTTAAAGGTTCCACTTCATTCATCAGTACATTAGCCGGTATTTTGTGGTATTGAATGGACGACATAAAATTTTCCACAAAAACTTCTTTCCAATCAACATTTGAATTTGTATCACCATATTTCATTGTCCACATAAGTGCGGCCTTAATAATACAATTACATTGGGGTTATTGATAATCTTGAACAAAAATTACTAATGTTTTTATAATAATATAAGGTACATAACTACATAAGGTACCTGAAATTTAGTGAATTCGTCTGCCTTTAGTTCATCTCTGCTTAGTATCAACCGGACAACGTGTAGTGGTAATAGAGCGAATGATCCAAGGTTTAAAACTTCGTTTCCATGTTCGTCAACAAACTCCAAAACCTATTCAACGTACGAGTTAAAAATTGTGCCAACCAAATATAGTGAATCATATTTTACAACAGAAAATATAATAAGTATAAGTTACCTTCTGAACGAGGCTTTTAGTACATTTGTATTGAATATACCGCTCTGCTGATGACAAGAGTGCGCAGACCGTGTCCACATTTATGCAGCACTGAACGAAGCCCGTGCATGCCTTCCGCAGATCTTCCAGGCCATAATAATCCGCTGCATTCAGTACTCCTATAAGCATATAGGATATCATCAAAAATACAATTTATTTTAGTAGTCGTTTTTAAAATACACTTATATGCTATGCCAGTAGTCTATACAACAGTATAAAACGCTCCTGTGAAATATAAAATTGTAAATCCTTAAAATTTAAATGAATGTATATTTTAAATAGACGAAAAATACTTAAAGGTGTTCAAATAGTACCTACGTATATAGGTTATTACTATGCATATTTAATTTAACTCACCCAATAATGTTCTGGGTTGCAAAGTTACACAACCAGTATGTATATATTCAATAAGTTGGCGAAATACGTCTGGTTCGAATTCATCAACTACGACTGTTTGATGTTGATTGGATTGAGTCTAAATAATACATATTATGATAATATAAAAAGAAAACACTAAACAAAATTGCAACATAAAAAAGGATGTCCGGTAAGACAAAAATATACCTAATTTAATATTTATAACTTTTAGTAGGTACCTTACTTTAATGTTAAATCAAACTAAAAATTATAATCATACTTGTGTATTGGCATTTTTTACATTGAGAAGTGGTTCACTGCTTCGTTTTAGAAATGTAGGCCGTCTTAGTTTTGTAGTCTCTTTAGGTAAAACTTCTTTTTTTCTTTGAGGGCTTGGTGGCTGATATAACATTTTATGGAATACTCTAAAAGTACAATATTTGATAAACAATATATTAAATAAATAAAAAATGTTTTTCAGAAAACTTTTATATTTTATTATATTAAATTATATATTGTATTACATGCCACATGGTTTATAAAACATGTTAATTATTTATAAATTAATAATTATATATACGTATATAATATATAATATATATTTTATATATTTTTTAACTACAACGGTGACGGTAGAGATAACATTATAACAATATCATAAACATTAAACATATTAGTCAGTTTAGCTCACCGATTTAACTAGATTTACCACCCCCTTGGCCCATCTCATAAAAAAAATGAACTTCACCGCATCTAAGTATGACTTATGTGAGCCCAGAATCCAGATCATTGATTAGAATATATACATAACTATTATAGTATATTTAATCGATGTCCTAGTCCTGCAGACATAATATGAAATAGATTTTTTTTAAAAACAATCTTTATTCATTTTAACTTTTAACTAGAAACCCTGAAGTTTAATTATTTACTATATGATAATTATTAATTATACAAATTGAATTTATTTCTCTACTGCGAATTACTTAAGTAGTTGAATTGTGAAACTACAGAAGGCTTATAGCTTATTTGAACAAATAGAAGATAATATGATTGTATTGCTCAAGCATGTTACCAATCGGCAATCACCATTTTCATCTTTAGGCTTTAGGTCACGTATAAAATTAAAATATAAATATTGTAATATTTTCGGTATTTAAAATATCACACAAAATACTGATAAGTACCTAATGATAACTGATTAATAATGATGATACAATACTATAAATTACAAAATATACATTAACCAACATTTTTTATAGGAAGTTTACTAAATTCATTTAAAAATCTATGTGTTTTTGGTGTACACGACCAGGGACGGATTGGGCCATAGGGAAATCGGGAATTTCCCGATGGGCCGCGTACTAAACAGTAAATATAATCTAATAATTAATAAATATTACCATTGATTATAGATTATTCATTCAATGATATTACAGTCTATAATATTACAACGTAAAACGTTGTAAATTGTAATAATACAAGTACCTATACAACGTCTACGACAGAAACTGAATAATAATATTAATTATCAATAACAATAGGTAACCGTAATCAAAAAATCAACTTCCGTAGACAGTAAAATCTATAAATAATTGGTTATTCGGGTTGTCGTCGATCAGATGGGCAGGCGGTTGAGTTTAATGAGTAATTACGACGAATTTTGACGATACAAGTCGACGCGGGTCGTTACTCGTTAATATGAATACCTAATAAGAATATTTTATTAAAGAAATAAGAATAAAATATTTTGTATTACGATAGTAATAGTGGCGAATTATAAAATAAAATTTAAATGGATGGATCAAACTGAAGTAAAAAACGAAAATGAGGAGCTGAAAAAATCAAAGACAAAAATAAAAAAAATACTATTTTTAGAAATATATTAATAATTAAAAATATTAAACTGTTACTGTTAAAGTACAATAATCTACAATTTATTTTATTGATAGAGAATGAGAGAAACAACATATTTTTCAAAATACTTAAATAGGTACCTATTTTTTTTTTTTTTAATATGAATATATACGTTAAATTATTTTAGTGTAATATTCAACTGATATTTAAAATACTAAAAAAAATTACTATCTTCATCTTCAGTATGGTGTACACTTGCCAGTTGCCCCCAATCTCCCAACAAATAGGGGGCCGGTAAAAAAGCATTTTCCCGGGCTGGTCTGAAATTCCAATCCGTCCCTGTACACGACACACGTGTTCTTATATTATAGTATATAATACATAGAAAAAAAATGATGACGTGTTCTTATAATTCTGACCATCACTGATAAAGACACCTCTGAGTTATATAAACAAGATAATAATAATTCTTAGAATTTTATTAAATTGTGTTGACTGTTGATATGTTGTAAAATAAATAAAAAACTATTATTAAAGTATTAAACATGGTGTATTGTTTTTCATTTTTATAGTACCACACTACCATGTTGTTGTTTTGATCTCTGTTGGATGCATAAGTTATGATCATTTTAAAATGTACAGTTTCAAAAAGGTCATAACTTACTTAAAAATAATAATATCAATAAAAACCTATGTGGGGGGCCTAGATAAAATGTAGGAAAAAAAGCCAAGGAAAATAAGCCACTACGGGAAAAATAACCCTAGGAAAAGAAAGTGAAAAAAAAATTAATAAATATATAAAAAAAATTAAAGTGTTCAATAAATTATTATTTTTAATTTTGAACATAGTTGGTCATAAAATAAGAAAGAGAAAAAAGCTAATTAATGGTGGTGAGTAAGTATAATATTATAAGCTAATATATTATGTAGTTCTCACTGCAACATGTATACATTTAAAAAAGAATCACCTTGTACAAAGTTTATACATTATATATATATAATGTATATATATATATATAAAGATGTAAGGGTATAAATGGACATTTCCCTCCGGCATTTTCCCTTAGACTGTTTTCGGTCGAGTAGGACATTTTAACCCCCATTTTTTTAAAATTATTGACTCACAATATTGAATATTAATATTATATTATTATAAATAGTAAACTTTGAAAAAAATGGGGGAAAAATGACCACATCAAAAATATATCCGGGGGGGGGGGGTGGGATGTTCTCCGACACCGAAAACAGTCGGTTGGTTAAATATGTCCAGAATATGTCCGCGATTCGATGTAAGACATAAATCAATTGATTTCAATATAATATGTAGGTAAGTTTATTCACAAAATACCATATTTTTGTTTAATTTATGGCATTTGTTGGCATTTTACTGAGGGAAATTCTCTGTATTTGGTTAAGATAGAACTGTTTTATAAACTTCTTTCATAGTCTCACACATTTATCTCCAGAGTTAATAAATTAACTATTTATCATATTTTACATTTTTACATACAATGGAAATCATTGATTCCAATAAAAATAACTCCAAATTATGTTTTGAATGTTATAACATGTACGTTCTAAAACATATTGGAAAAAGTTATATTACATGGCGTTGTAATAAACCAATTTTGCTAAAAAATTCCCGGTTTTCTTTAATTTTTTTTTGTTTTTCTCTGCGCTTTTGAAAATTACTGGGCATTTTGACCTCCTCAACGCACTAACTAGATTCACTTTCCCATCAAACAAGATACTGAAGTTGAAAATCGAAACATAATTTCGACTACCTACTTATCGTCTACACTCACAAAAAAAAAAAAAATATAAAAAAACACACATCATTTTAAAATCAATACATTCATCGCTCCGCTCAGAACCTAAAATAATAATTTTATAAGTACCTACTTAAATTTTTTTTTTTTATATATTCATTAATTTTTATTCGACTTATTAATATTTAATTAATTAAAGTCTTATAATATGTCCTATTGATTTAAAATTAGATCCACAAATTTGCCATACAAAAAAAAAAACAAGATGCTTCTTCGAATTCCATAATTTTCAATCCAATCATGGACAGACTTTTGCAAATTTTACCGTAGTTACATTATTATTTTTCTAATTTATTATTGTCAACCACGACGGTCTTTTGTCAAAACACATACCTATTAAACAAATCGTATATAGGTACATTCATACATTAAAAACAAAAATGTATCCACCATTGATCATTAACAGTAAAATGTAAATTACGTTGTGGTGAAAGTGTGGATAAAATTGACACTTTACTTGTACGTGTGGATTAGGCCTTAACGGGGATACCAGTATATACCACAATAAAAAAAACGCGTCATGTGTAATACCTTATGCATTTAAACAAACTTCATTATTCCAATGTTGTCGTTTTTAAGCAAAAGTGATGTGGACATTTGCACACAACTACCTTTTGAATAAAGAAATTACGATGTACAATGTTTAATGTTATACCTATACGTTAACCTAAATGTCTTTTATTCGAAGCACTCTTTAAGCATTAAGCTATAGGTTTTGTTATAAATAGTTTGAGAACTTATCATGAGTATAGGTACCTATTGCATGCTCGCCCAACTCGAAGAATGCTAGTTAAGGATTTATTAAAATTCTGGTTTTTGGAATTCCTAAGTATATTATATGTAGCAAAGACTATAGTTATTGATAAGAGTATACAACTATATATCTACTGTGTATTTTCAATAACATGTATTTTACGTGGCGTTTAAAAACTGTATTGAGTCTATGTTATTTTTTTTAATGATAAAGTATAGCTATAATTATATGTCCATATAGAGGAAATAAAATAAAAATGTCACTAAGTTTCAGAGTTATTATACTTTATATCCTACTATAAGGACATAGGCCTGTCTAGACCTTTGACGCAGAGGGTGCAACCTGGTGCGTACCCAGAGGGCTAAGCCGTTAACGCCGCTTAGGGGCTTTGGTCCCCCCTTTTTTAAACAATTTTTGTTATTCTCATATTCATCATTATTAATATGAATGTATCTAATATTAATTTTAAAAAATGTTGTCCCTTATTTCAGATAACGAATGTAAGTAGGTAAACAATTAAAATAAAATATTAAAATCATACTCCGAACATATCCATAGATAATAAATCGTTATTTACACATCTTGTTACTTGTCCTAATTATATAATCATTAATTAAATAAATTTAAAACAAATTGAAAAATGTAGATACATAGGTAGATAATAATGGTACCTAATAATAATATTACATTAGTCATTATAGTTTTTTCTTTCTGCTACCAACTCACTGCCTCACTGTATGGTAACGTTATAATACACACGTCACTATTCATATTTCTACATGAATCAAATTGAAACAATAAAATTGAATTGTCACCGATGATGTGTGACATTTCTTTTTTCGTGTTTTAGTTCACTCTTCGTGAGTCGTGGTAAACTTTAAATGTCTCGATGTCTCTGTCCTCGAATACACAGAATATGCAGAATAATTTTTTATTATGTTTTTGAATAATCTTAGAGTAAGATTACCCATTACAAAAACTATGGAGAATAATATTTTTGAAGTTACGTACCTGTTGAAAATGTTAAAATTTCGCCCAATCATAGACCTAGAAAACTGAAAACCCTTCCTATAGGTAATTGTTTTCAACTAATAAATATAATTTGCTGTATTAAATGAATTTATTCAAATATTTAGTAATCATTGGCCAATATTTTGGTTACAACATAAAAAAATATAATTTTCAATTTTGTATCAACTATTAATTTTAAATATTTAAATTCCAATATTATATTAAAATGCTCTATGAGTTTTTATTTTAAAGTAAAACTATCACTTAATAAACTTCTTTATAAACATAATTATTTAAATAGCAAAAACAGTTATCTGTGGCCTGTGCAATTATTGTGAATCAGAAATTTTAACGAAAACACAGCATTAATACAATGCCTATTGCCTGGTCTCGCTTAGAATCTTAAAAATTATTGTGTACCTATCTATATGCGAATCTATACATAATATAATGTAAAATGTTAATGTTTTGGGAATTTGGACTGATGCCAGGATAACCAAATGACGAATCCGAAATCACAATTATAATTTTTTTTTATTATTATTTATTATATACCTACTATACAAAGTATATGACAAAAGACAAAATACTACATTTATGATTTATCATCGTGGTAATTACTAATTTGTACTATTTTTGTTACGAGGTGTAGTAATATTTAATACAAGAATGACAATTGTTATTTTAAGCTGTACGCCTGTACGTATATGATTTTATATTTGTCTTTCCTTAAATTATGGCCATCACCACATCATAAATTATTTATGTGAAATAAAAATTGTATTTTAACTATAAGACTATAACATAGGCCCATAAAAATATTACGCTTACGAAAATTGTACGCCCAAGGATCAATCCCCGTCTTCACCCTCCTATAGTTCCGCCTTTGATGACATAAAGATTTGTCTAAATAATGGCGTCAAAACAATTTAAACATCATTTCAGTTTACAAACATTTATTTTTATTTTGATTCTCCATTTTGAAGTCAATGTCAAATAATGATAAAATATAAAACCGACATGCCATACCCTTAAAAATATTATCTTCTATAATTTTTTTAATTGGTAATTTTACCCTAAGATTACTCAAAAATCATAAAAAACTATTTTAGGTAAAGGCGTTTTGTCTATGTTGCGAGTGGATCTGAAAAAGTAAACAAATAGCGTGCCTGACATCCTCTTAACCAGCCTTTGGTTTAGTGGTTTCTATCGATTTATTCTTGTTTATATTAGTGTCAGGCTTAAAATACGTATTTTTCCTTTTTACAAAGTGCTGACCGTTGTATGTTGTTGTTATATTATTTATGCAGCATTGCAGCCACCAAGGAGTGGATTGTCCGAATGTACGATTATGGATATCATCTGATTAAAATTATATCATACCATTGGTTTTTATTAATTAAATCTAACAAATAAACTTCCAAAAAATATTTAATGTTTATGTAGGTATTGTATAATACGTAAATATAATGCATTTTTAAAGTCAATATCATATTATATTCAAAAGTTTTTGAAATTAGATTCTCTTAATTCTGCTTAAACAACCATAATTTAAATATTATATATTGATATAAATTATAAATACATTTAAATTAAAATAGTAGCTACATTTAATATGTATTTTACATACTATAGGACAAAAATAATTAAAAATGTAAATATCTTACCGACTCCTTGCGGCTAAGACTGCTTTTACAGCACACACTGGTTCTCTCGTATCGCCGACCAAAAAAGTTACATCACATAATTCGGGCATACTGGCCAGGAACGCCATATCGTCAGCTAGGCCATTTTTGTTTTCGAACACACTCTGGTCAAGCTCGTCATCGGTTGATTCCATGTCTCCTTGTAGTCTCATTATTTACCACATATCTATAGGAAATTATAAAAAACCAATAATTTAACTTATAATAGCAACAAACTAGGTACAATAGTTTTGAACTTGTTTTAACCCACTTGGCCACTTCCCACCCAAACGCATCGAATATTTATCTATAAGTTATAGTGCATTAAGCTATTACTGGTTATTATTAATCAGTGGACTTTTTCTGTTTTCGTCACATTAAAAACAGTATGCATCTACGAATCAATACTTATCCACTGTTCAAAAATTGGTGTGGCTCACACAGGGAAATTAGATATTTAAACGAAGAATAACGAATTTAGTAAAGTATTTTGTTGTATAACTAAAAAAAAATATTATAGGGGACTTAAAACATTTATAGTGAGTTTTTTGCATATTATTTTAATATTATAGGTAAGTACTATATAAATAGGCAGTGACATTTATGTTTAGATTAATTTTAAGCGTATTTATATCGTAAAACACCTATATCGTTCTATAATAGTATAATACTAATAGTAAAATAAATTAATTACTATAGTCTATAATAAGAATAGGTACCGAACACTACCGAATATTAATAGGCATATCATTATAAAATATAGGTACATAGTAATATAAATACTGACAATCACTGGATCATATTCGCTCAAAATTGTTTTTCATTTGTTCAATGAATAAAAGTTATATCATTAAATTCAAATTTAACAGGTACAAACCAGGCGCGTAGCCGGGGGGGGGGGGGTGTTACAGGTGTATTAACACCCCCCCCCCCCTTCAACCGTGGTGTACTATATTTTATAATTTAAACCGGGACACGGGCACACGGAATTAGATAATTATTATTTTAGACCATTCTGTGTCAGTTTATCGTTGACTCGTTTCATGTACCTACGATACAAGATATCTTTTAATGCAGAGTATTTACAACTTGTTTACAACTTCATCATTAGAGTGTTACTCTATGGTATCAACTATCATTGGGGATTACAATTTTAATACCTCGACTAGCTATAAACCGAACAAATCGTTTTAGAATTTCAACAGAATCACCGGAAGTCTATTTTAGGATTTTGATTTTTGTACCTTTTTTGGATCATTTCTGTGAGCAACTAAATGACAGATTTTTGAACCATAAATCACTATTAAAACAATTTACTTGTTTAATAAATGCAAATGAAAAAAATGATACCGAATTTAAAGAACTTCTTAAGACATATTCTTCAGATATTGAAGCTGATGAAATATCTGCAATTGGTGAGTTTGCAATATGGTATGAACATATAAAAAATAAAAATCCTAAAAATCCTAAAAATCCTAAAAATGTTACCGAAGCCTTCTTTGACAGCAACGAAGACATATTTCCTACTGTTTATCGACTTTTACAAGTATTGATTACTTTACCTGTAACAACTGCAAGCAGTGAAACGTCTTTTTCCTCATTAAGACGCTTGAAAACATATCTAAGAAAATACAACTGGTGAAAATCGCTTGAATGGCTTAGCTGTTATAAATATTCATCGAGATTTAGTCGTAACCACAGACGAAATAATAGATACACTAGCCTCAAAAAGTCGACACATTAAGTTAATTTAAAAATGTATTCATTTTTTTTTTATTGATAATAATATTATATAAGAGAACTATTATTCTAAACTATTATCTATTCACGGGTAAGTTGTAATACGTTTGTATAATAAATAATTTTCAAGCGAGATATGAGCATTTTTAATTTTTAATATTTCCATACACTTATTTTTCTCAAAAGTGAAAGTATCGAAAAATCGCCCAAGCTAAGACCCAGATAATGTTCTTACCTAAAAGTTTGATAATATGTCGATTCACTCTAGTATCAAAACTAACAGCTCACTATTGAAAATAGTGAACGACAATTTGTTATGTCGTGCGTGTGTAAGACAGAGACAACACACGCCACGCGTCTTAGCGTCCTCTTAAGTTTGAATAACACCCCCCCTTTGAAATTTCTAGCTACGCGCCTGGTACAAACTAATAAACTATAGTGACTTATCAATGACGTGTTAAACACTTACACTCGACACCTACAACTGTACTGCAGTACCTATTACAGTGCACAGGCGCAACTTAGGATATTTGTCTGGGGGGTGCTAAAATTGTATCAACAGCACAAACTATGATAATTAAAATTTCAAACTAAAATATGATTAAAAACTGGGTGAGCTTTCGATAAAACTGGGGGGCTTAGCCCCCTCCCTAATTGCACCTATGCTACAGTATAGGTACAGTAGTAGTTGGAAAGAAATCCACAGTATAAAAGTGACTGGCACACTAAATTGAATACAAATATAAATGATGTAAAAAAAGTAATAGGTATTAAGGGAAAAAATGAGGACGAGCGTGTTAAAATCACTATCTATATTGCAAATTGCAATGTAAATAGGTAGGGGGAGTAGGGGGACATTCAATTTCATCCACAGGAATTTGTCAGGGGGTGGGGTGGGAAATAATTTAATTTTCAATTTTTCTCTCCACAATAAAGCATGCCCCGATTTCCGCCTATGCCTTGCTAATAAAATAAAGTAATTGTAGCAGTAAACTTATTTTTTTTATTTATATTTTATACGCACATATTTCAAATTTATCATATGGTCAGACTGATTGTTTATAAACAAGTGATAGTATATTTTTATTTACCATAATAAATACCCATTGTGTTTTTTACTATATAGATAGTTGATAATATTAATATTATGAATCATATTAATATGACCAACATTCAAGTCATTCAACACTGAAAAGTGAACACAATCACAATTCACAAAACAATCATTATTTAGATATTAATCAGTTCTTATACCGTAAGTCCATAAAGTGTCCAGTCTTTAATCTTAATCATGATTCTTAGTGTAGCGTCTGTATAATTAATTGTGTCACTCAATTTATTTCAGGATTTGGGATGTAAAATATTGCTGTTCAAATATTTTAATACTATGTGGATTTATAGATACCATATTTATGTTGGACACTAGTCTAGACGAGGTGTAAGTATTGATCTTATAATAATATAATACATAATATATCAATACCTTGAGTACACCAAAATTTAGGTCAATTAAGTATAGGTAATGTACTTGTAATTTGTAAGTTATACATGTTTTTATCGTTATCAGAATATTTATAAGGTTGGGCTTAAGTAATTAGTGTGTACACATATATTTAAATAATAACATTTTGAGATTTTCCTATTTAGCTTTAAGTAATTTTCTTAGGTATAACTTGTATTTAAGACTAAATGGAATAACCAATCTATGCCTAGGTAATGTAATTGCAGTACATGCTTTATATTAAGTAACTAACTAATTTTTATAATTTTTATAATTTTAAGTATTTGTTTTTTTATAACTATGTGCAAGTACTATTTATTTAGTGGGAAATCTCTGTTTAACAATTAATATTTCAAACTAATGGGTTTATATAAAAATTATGTTTAGTACATATTATTAAAACTAAAGCTAAGGTGGGATACTACATTATTATAATAAAGTTTAACGTTTAATAATTGTCTGTAATAAATAAATAGTAATAACTAATAAGTGACTAAGTGACAAAGTTCAGTAGCTGGGTTCATTTTAGTGGCTTGTAAGTTAAATAATGGCTTAAAAATTCCTAAACTAGTAGGCACTTATGCATACCAAAAATATACTGATTAAAAAATGAATAAATCATAATCAATTTTTGAAATTGCAAGAAATATCCATTCCATTCATAATTTTAAAAGTTTTATTTTTTATCATTTTCCCATACATTTTATACCCTGAAAAAATATAAATTATTGCATTGTTCATAAAATTTTGGTTTTTCTTTAGTATTTTAATAAATAAAAATGTATATAAGAATAATAGTATAAGGGTGTAATAGTATAAGAATAATAATAGTAAATTAAATATATACCTATATTTGAATTTGTGCTAGTTTATAAAAATATTATAGATTGCATTGGTATTAATATATTTGGATCAAACAATTTTTGGTAGACAACATATATTGGAAAATTACCCCAGCTACTTGTTTTCATTTTGTTTCATATTAATTACTAAGTATTAGCATTGATTAAATATACATATATTTAATCAATGGTATTAGGTACCTATTTGTTTTTTACTTTTTTCAAAAATTTCATAAATATTGTGTTTTTTTAAAAATTTACATTGAAACTTTAAAATATTTTATTGGGCTGTTTGGATTATTGTAACAATAGGTAATATTTTTAATAGAGGAACTATTTTTTTTAATTTAACAACCTTTCCTATTGTGAAGACCACCACCATAGGTGAATATTTATTGGATTTTAGGGAGGGGGCTAAAATCTTACTACACAAAATGAGCCAAAGCCCAAAGAATAATATCTACAACCACATTAATTAATGGTAAATAAATTAAAAAGTACTACTTTTTACGACACACCCTTTTATAGTATATGAATTTATCACAATTGGATTGCTTAAGAACCAATACAATTTTCTACTTATAACATTAAATTAGGCTAATAACATTTATTTTAAACAGTGGTATGTGTGTTAAATTATTTTTATTGTTTAAATTATAAATTGCAAACCTCTTAGTATTTTTCATTTTAGTACTTCTGGGATTCCAATTTTGTAGTAATAATTTCTATAATATACAACATTTTAAAATCAGTTTTTAATTTATAACTCAACTTAATATAGTTACTTCAAATATTGTTTTAACATATTTCTTTTCTTTTCAGCAGTTATCAAACAAATAAATAAGATGGCCCAATCGACTACAGTTGAAACTATTACTATCACCAGACCTTTAAAAGTAAGCTATTTTATATTATTGATATGTAATAAATTCTATGGTGGGTAAATACATATTTTTTTAACAATTTATATTATATCTTTAACAAACTGAGGTCTGAGATTATTAACTAATGTGAATGTAAAAGTTTAGTATTTACTATTAGAAGGGGATAGTATTGTAGTTTTTGCAATATGACTAATTACTTTTGTGCACAGGGAATGTGCCTGGTCACCTTATGATAGTTTATAATTAGGGCCCTACAAGTTAAGCCTCTAAACCAGGGCCCCATAGGCCATATTTTACCTGTTGTAACTACATAACATTTTTCTATTATATGTGATAAATTATTATTATTATTATTATATATTATATAAAAAATAATAAATGAATAAAATTATTAATATCAAAACGTTCATAATAATTTACTAGCCTTTTTAGAAGGGCGACCAAAAATATTGCAACTGACATCACCTAAAATTCAGGTCTACGCATGCCTATGAATATCTGTATTGGGAATTTACTTGGTTAATTCAATATGAATATGATTTAAAATGTCCGTCAACAATATGACATAAAATTCATTAAGTGTACCATAAGTCATAAGGCTCATATACAGATAATTATTTTGACCTTTAAAATAACTTCAGATTGCTTTAATCAGTGGTGCAACTAGGGCTGAAATGTTGGGGGGCTGTAGCCCCCATCTGACATTACATGAAAAGTAACCCCACACCCTCATATATGTCGACTTAAAAATATAAAAAAAACATACATACAAACAAACAAAATCAATTATTTATTTACTCAAGTACTTAATTATACCTTATTTTTTAATATTTATATTATAATTTTGTTTATATTTTAGGAAAGAATTGAATGATTTATTTTGAGGGGGCTATTACATGTTTTGGGGGGACTAAGGCCCCCCTAGTTGCGCTTATGCTCATAATAAAAAAGTTTCATAAAAGGTTTTACTATTTCTTCTTGAAAATTTCAAAAACTATAAACATTATTAAGTAAAGATTTTACTCAAAGCAATCAATTGTCCACTTTGGATTACAACCAACGGATACAGTTAAAATATAATGAAGATAAGACAGTGTACCATATTGATATTATGCTGCTATAGTGTGATATAATGTGATTATTTCATTCAACTGGTATTTGGGCTAATTTACGATTTAGCACATTTTTACACGTATCTATTTTGTGATTTTTAGAATATGGTGTACCCTTAAATAGATATAATAATAAATATTAAATTATAATTGAGAGTTGTGGTTTTCGGAACGGCATCATAAATTAAAGTATTGTGCATAATATGTATAATTATAATATAATAATATAGATATATATCTACTACTACTGCTACTACTACTAATAATAATAAATTGCATGTATTAATTATAATAGTGATAATACTGACTTTGGACCAATTTATTTCCGTCTATAATAAGTCGTTGCTGCTGCAGTCGTCGATAATGTACAAATTATCGTAAATAGTTCCGGTTATGATGCTGCAGGAGTCTATAAATAAGTGTATATATGCGCGGTATGCGTCCGTTTTAGTTCGATCCGTCAGTGGTGTATGGATGGTAGTTGCTTGACGGGTGTAGTGAATATAATATATATAGATATGTAACAGGGAAGAAAAAAAAATCACAAATTTACGTTAAACTGTGTGCAGTTGCTCTAGATAGGCGTGGGAGGCGTGGTTGAAATGTATATTACTGAGAGACTGGAAGAGATATGGGAGTGAAAATATTATTATGTTTATCTTGGACTTTGCTGATGGAAATATAGGGCACGGTAACGATGGAACGCGCGTAGGGTGTAAAGTTTTTATAAATATATATAATAATAAAGTACATCTAATACTTGTACTATGATCACCTATATGTATATATTTAAGGTAATAACCAGTAACCACCCTTAGCGGCCGCGTAGTCAGTCATCGCGGCGGCGCGTTCGGTGGCCCCGTCCCATCGATCGAGTCCATCCGCGTCGGCGTTCGTCGAAATGGCTTCTTATACGCGCGAATCGCTGCTAAATGCAATCTGGGGGTGGCGGGTGGCGTAAACTTTCGAGCGTGCGCGTGCCAATCGCCTAGATCCGCACAGGGTGGGACGATATTGTACTGTGTGTTATTGTACGTATGTATGTGTGTGTGTGCGTCTGTGTGTGAGCGTCTACGTGTATTCTCGCGAGTGTTTTTATTGACGTTCCGGATATAGGTAGAGTCCCATAGAGAAATCGAACGTTCATAGATATTATTATACACGGAAACCGAACGCGAGCTCAAGGAAGTAAATTTGTTCTCGGAATACCCACAAATACGTATTGTTGTACAATCCTGCTCGTTGCTTTTGTACACGTGCTCGAGGAATAACATTGACACGCATATCCTATACAATATTATACCCACTATAGTTTTTACTCTTTGTCTCTGCACCAGAAATTCGGTAATAATATTTAGATATAATCCTCTCTATCCGAATACACACGTTATATTAAACACGCTCGCGTGTGTGTATAATACATCTTACAATCGATAAAATCGCTCTGGGCATTTTGCCCAGAAACCCGTATACAAGACGGGCCCGCAATACGGCGGCAAGCTGATCCTGTCACGGACGGCCGTGGATACTACGTGGCAACGGCGCCAGGAACTGTCGCTCCATCCGGCGACGGCGACGGCTGCAGAAACGGAAGACTGGCACGGCAGGTCGATGCAGTCCGACAAGGGTTACAGTGCTCAGGTTAGGAAGAAGTATAAAGGGCAGGAAGAGCTATTTATATTTACACTTATTTACAGACCTACTTGCAATTATTATCGGTAAAAAGGTATAATATGTACATAGAGTGTCAGAGTGATGGTGAGTTATGATGGACGGGGGTAGCAGGTCATGCAGTTTCCTCTGTCTATAGGATCCAAAGCCCCACTTATGAATTTTGGGACCCGGTGCTAATTTTAATTACACTAAATTCAGTTTTTTTTATATTCAGTTTATTTTTTAAGATTATAAATAAATTATTTAATGTTGATTGGTATAAATAAAATGCATATAACTGTATTACAGGTAGGAACCCTAATTATGTCTAGGACCGGGGCTGCAGGGGGGCCCCTTAAGTTGTGCTCTGATAGGACCAAAATCGTATGAAAGTTATTGTCTGTAGGACAAGCATGATGGTTATTGTTTTTAGGATCAGTTTATGATTTAAAAACCCACACATGAAAAGTATAATTTTTGATTCGGGCATTTCATTAAGTCATTTGATGATTTACTTGGCATAAATATTCTATTAAAATAGATCCTTTCTGTCAGTAGTGCTGTGAAATAACATAATAGTCTTATCACTCTTATTTGATTTTAAAGGAAACTAAATTTATTAATAAATATAGGTAGGTACATATTTTGTTCCTAATAATAATTGATATTGAATTTGTTTGTAAATTATTTTACGTTTTAAATATATTTTTTTAATTTAGGTACTTGTTGATTGTATACAACAACAACAAATTAAAAACCAAAATAGTAAAGTGTTAAGGAAATTATAGTATATGTATTTATCCAAAAATTATGTTTTGATGTTAATAATAATATTTATTAAATATTTTTATATTTCATCACGAAAACAACTCATGATATTATTATGTCTTGTTTGTTCGATTTTAGGGCTTTTATAATTAATTATATGTTTTGTTTCCATAGGTGATCGCTTTGATATGTGGTCTAATTGTAATTGTTCTGATGCTACTGACGTTGACGTCCACTGATTGGTTATTGTCAGCCGGTTGGCGTCAAGGTTTGTTTTCTCATTGCATTGCAGTCAATGCTCCTACACCGTTACCATTTAATGTACCTGATAACGGTCCAGATTGTTATCCAACACGTGAAGTTGGTATGTATCAGGTTTAATTTTGTTCACCTGTTCAATTTTAACTATTTGTTTGTAATAACTTAGGATACATAAGAGTAGCTGCAGCTTTGTGTATAGTTACATTGGTCACAGACATAGTGGCTACTCTTTTAACGGGGCTTGGGTTGAGAAGCAAAGATCAACGAACCAAATACAAATTCTACAGAGTAGCTGTTTACGTTATGTTACTCGCATGTATGTATACCTCAATAATCTTTATAATTGTGTCTTACAAACTCTTGTAATTTATTCCAATATGTTTTGTTTTCAGTATTATCCTTATTGATAGCGTTGATTGTGTATCCAGTATGTTTTGCAGCTGAATTAAATTTAGGTAAATTGTCGACTTATAACTACTGTTGATTTAAATTTAATTAATTAAATTTGTCTTCAAATAAAACATTTTAGGGAACCGCACTGTGTGGGAGTTTGGATGGGCCTACGGCGTTGGATGGGGTGCCGGAATATTTTTGTTTGGTGCTGTTGTATTGCTGTTATGCAACAAAGAATCCGAAGAAATCTACTATAAAGAACGTAAAGTAACATCGTCCGCCTAGTGTGCGGCGCCCCTGCCTGACGTAGTACTTTAGTGACCTTTCACCGTTGGTCAAACGACGGGCAGGGTGATCTTATTGTTTTTATGATAAGACAGTCATTACCATGATTTACTAACTAACACGTCACACATGTCAAAAATCATCTTACATCATTGGTTTTTGACAGGAAATAACTATTCTGGTGGGGGAATATTTGCTTTGCGCACATTATACTATATAAAATTGTAAAAGATTCTTTCAGTAATCATAATCAAATTAGCATTAGGTTATTTTTTTTTTTGTAGATAGTTGAATGATATATTTTTTTCATATTTTAACCATAATAACTTGAGATTTTTGTGTATCAAGTGAAGAGTTAAGATAGAATTTTATATTAACTTAATAATTATTAACATGTGATTGTGGTAGTCTGTATTTTATTCAAATTATTAACATTATTGTTTATGACTTACACTTATGAGTATCACAAATTAAATTTACTTAAAACATTTCTCATTGTTCCAAATTAGCAATGAGTTATAATTTCTATTATTAATTCAAGTTTAAAAATTGTCTAATTTAAATTGTATTATAGTTATTACTTATTAGTAAACATACCGATGACACCATGTAAAAATAATACTAATTTTGTGTAACACGAGTTCTTTTATAATGTACTACCTGATCAAGTGTAATAAGTAATAACATGTTCATATCTAATATTATCTATTGTTAAAATATTTAAATTTAGTAGTAACAAAAACAAATGTAAATATTATAATATTTTGTATATCATACTATGTTTCGGCTTGTGTCTAACACAAGCAGTAGCCAAAGAGAGTTGACCCTGCCAAAGACCAAAAAAAAAAAAACTAAAGAAAAACTTCCTGTATAATTGACATTCCTATATGCATATAATTTCTATATTTTGTTGATTGTATATAGTATGTTGCCACCCTAACCTTGTTAAAGACTATCCCGTTATATATTTATCAGTGTTTATTTTCCCGTTGATTTTTTTTATACAAAGCATTTTATTAATATATTATTGTATTCTTGCCTATTATTATAATTTTAATTAAATATAACATAGTGACACACAATAGGTTTTATATTAGTGTATGTATAACAATTATTTCATATTCATGAGAAATGATAATCTCCAACATAATATGCTATTATTTAAAGTTTTTTTTATATTTTTTAACTATATATATTAAGGACGTTTGTTAAAACTACATATCTTTAAAATGAGCTGTTTTTATAGTGCTCCTAATTTATTTTACCCTTAAGATTTACAGATCAGCCGTCCATCCTAATATAACTCTCCCTTAAAAAATGTATTTTTATGTTATTTGCACATTTTGTTACAATTTATTTGCTACAGTTCTATTATAAATAATTGTAGGATCATTTATGTTTGTTTTCATTTACTAAATAAGCTGTGTCAAATAGTTTATTAAATAATATTTTTAGCCTTTTAGGACATATTAATATATTCTTTCTTATAATGTACACAATTGCATTTTTCTTCCAAATGAATGTTGTAAGTATTAAAATAAATATAACATTAACTGCAATTTATTTTTAATTTAAAATGTATATTCATATCTATTATTTAAAGTAAATTTAAAATATCCTAATGTAATTTTGTTAGTAAGTACTTACTTAGTCCTAGTGTATTGTAAAAAGAGATATAAGGGTCACTTATCAACTAGGCAATTTATCACCAGCAATTAGGGTGCATTCGGGGCAGTAGAGCTTGTGCTAACCACCCATAACCGACTCGGTTAAATTTGATTAAACCGATCAGGACACGGGCAGGCAGCCGACCTGCCCTGATAATTGTGTCATTAATAATTTACTTTTAATCCGGATAGGACTGGATACCATAGGCCTTACCAGCAATTGACTTACTAAGGGCTTTAGTGATTGCCATATTTGATATTATTCACTATAAATAAATAAAAATAAATATTCCAATAAATATAAAAGGACAATTTCTCTTAAGACATTGAATTTAAAATGTTGCCTAAATTAATTAGGTACCTAAGCAAATATTAACGATTTTAGTTCAAAAATAAATATATACACGTGACTTGAAATATTAACTTAAATTATTACTATACTTTACTATACACAATGACATTTTCAAAATATTTAGATTCATTTTAATCTATTGTAGTGGCGTATTCAGTATTTTTTTATCTTTGGGGGGGGGGGGGCTGATTAAGTGTTCGCAGTGAACTAAGGTAATATTATGAATTGGAAACGAATAAACGATACTAGAATCAGTGGCCCAGTTTACATACGGACATTCCGTAGAAGGAGAAATTGGGAGACTATATGGTTTCATCTAGGTAACCTGTAATATCCTGGCGCCTATTATTCCCATAGTGGCATAGTCCATACTTATATTTAATCTTTTATCTCTTGTCCTATTCCTATATATAAACGTTTATAGATGTATGCAAAATCCAACTCCATATAACAAAATTTGAAACTTATAATATAATTTTATAGTATAGGATAATTCACCACCAGATTCTGGGAGCTCCGTGAACTTCTCCTTCCACACAAAATTAGTACGAAAACCGGACTGGACCCCCCCACACCCGTCAAATATGTCAGCATCCTTTCTGATCGGAAAGAAAAATTTAAAAATGCCCAATAGTTTTCAAAAGCGTCAGGCAGAAAAAAACAAAAAATTAAGGAACATCTGAGATTTGTAATTGTATTTTTTTCTAGAAAATGATACTTAGAATTGTTAGAAAGATAGGAAATTAGAACAAATATATCTATATATATAATATTATATATTATATATAATTGAAGCGTGAATATGTCGTAATACCTCATCGATCGAGAACGGCTGGTCCGATTTGGGTCAAATTTTTTTAAAGATGTTCGTAACTGCCAGGAGAAAGTTTTTACGAAAATTCGCCGGGAAAGTAGGAAATCTGGATGAAAAAAATACAACAGTGTATTATAAATAGGTTGCGATTGGTTAATCGGGCATTTTTGTTGATTTGTTTTATTATTTTTGTCAATGTATATATGAATGCAGTGGCGGCTCGTGGTGTTCAAAGTAGGTGGTGTGCAATTATTGCAAAAGTTTGTTTAAAAAAAAAATAATCTGTTTTAAGTATAAATGTAATAAGTTAAATATTTATTTATTTATTAGCATTTATATTTATATTTTGTTTATCGCGTGCGACCGCCTGACGAGTGTGCAGCTGTAGCTGCACACCAAAGTCACATATAATTGCCGATTCCCCCACTCGACAACCAAACGTATTTTACACGGACAGACGGTGTTCAGACTTCAGATTGAGCTGCACACCAGTTGATGAGTATTTGTTGCATAACTCGATTACATTTTAGGAGTATAATAATAAATATAGTCGTTTGTTTGTTTTTAAAATTTAATTTTTTTACATAATAAATACAGTTTAACAGAATATATTGTATTAAAATTTATTTATTATTAGGTATACATTTTTATTATACATTTTCACTATTATAACTAATTAATCTATGTGGTGTGCGCACACCTGCACACCTAGGCACGAGCCGCCACTGTATGAATGAATGTTTGTGTGTATATTAGACCTCTGGGGAGAAGACAGGCTAATTTAAAAATGATTAAATTTGGTTTTTTTTATTCATCTGATATTTTGTGTTAAGAAGAACTCAATTTATGTTGTTAGGTTTACTCAAACATAGGACTTGGGACTGGTTAAAATTACCTAAGTTAGAAAGTTACTTTTTATTTATTTATTTTATTACTATATTATTAAGTAACTTTATAACTTAACTAGTTGAATAATTGAATGTATGAAAGTAAAACTTATCTAACTTGTTAAAAACAATAAGTAACTACACTTATTTTTGTAGTTTTTTTTTTCATTCTAACAGTCCAATAGTCCAAATGTTCCATAAAGCTGCTGAGTGTCAACTATAACCATACAATTTTGAAAATAATTTGAGTCTTTTTGAGCTTATTACGGACCATTTCAAATTTTAATTTTTTTAGTTTTTTTTTCTATGAATATCAATAAAATCGTATTTGTTGGGTAAAAACCGTGAAAATGTAATGCACTAATGCTCCTGATATATTGTTACAGTAGCAGTGGAAAAATATTAAAAATGCACAGGCACAATTTTTTTTATAAGCATTTAAAGTTCAAATGTTGACAAAATTTAGCACATTTAAATTTTATTAATTATTTTGTACTTAAAAATTTATAAAATGTTCAAATTTTATAGCTAAGGATTGAAAATTTAAAACAAGATTCCACGCAAATATATTATATATAAATTACTTTACTCATCTTAATATCATCAAATATAGGTACTTAGTAATATCATAGGCTGACTGACCGTTTTCGCTCAGAATCGTTTTTCTTATACTATGATATTGTATCATAGAATTCAAATTTAACACCACCCATTACAGTGACCCACTTGTAACCTACTGTACAGCAGAGCGATATCTACTTACCCACTTTTTAAACGATTAGTTCATTAAAGAAAGATTATTCATAGGGCCCCTGCAGGTTTTCAATGTTCACGTCATCTTAAAAAAAAATTTAACTTGAGTTAAATAACTAAAAAAAAATTTGAAGGGGGGGTGTTGGTGCCCGAAGGCAAATGCGTTTTGGAAAACAAAAAAAAAAATTAGAAGAAATTAAACAATAGGACCACACATTAAAGAATTCAAACGAAAATGTCCAGATTCTTAAACAGATAACACAAAACAAAAAAAAAAATTAGAAAAAATTAAACAATAGGACCACACATGAAAGAGTTCAAACTAAAATGTCCAAAAACTTAACAGAAAAACTATTCAAAATGAGAAGATCATTAAAGAAAGATGATTCATAGGGCCAATGCAGGTTATCAACGTTAAAGTCTAAACAAAATATTTAACTAGAGTTAAATAACTAAAAAAAAAAATTGAAGGGGGGTGTTGGCGCCCGCAGGCAAATGTGTTTTAGAAAACGAAAAAAAAAAATTAGAAATTAAACAATAGGCCCACACATTAAAGAGTCAAATTACAAAATGTCCAGAATCTTAAACAGGAAAAAACTATTCAAAATGATAAGTTCATTAAAGAAAAATGATTCATAGGGCCAATGCAGGTTATCAACGTTCAAGTCTAAACAAAATATTTAACTTGAGTTAAATAACTAAAAAAAAAAAAATTGAAGGGGGGTGTTGACGCCCGAAGGCAAATGCGTTTTAGAAAACAAAAAAAAAAATTATAAGAAATTAAACAATGGGACCACACATTAAAAAATTCAAACGAAAATGTCCAGATTCTTAAACAGATAACACAAAACAAAAAAAAATTTGAACAAATTAAACAATAGGACCACACATGAAAGAGTTCAAACTAAAATGTCCAGAAACTTAACAGAAAAAACTATTCAAAATGATAAGATCATTAAAGAAAAATGATTCATAGGGCCAATGCCATCAACAGGATTTCAGAATGTTTAGCTTATATGAAAGGGAAATGCGAAAAAGAAATGTAATTTTAGGTTAGGTTAGCGAAGTGTGTGTAGCAGATATGAGAATATTAAGTTAGGTGTTGAGGTACAAAGGAGGATAGAATAGGAAATTTATTAATTAAAGGTTGTGTAGTGTTGTGTTGTGGCATATATTGTAGTGAAAACAAGAGAGAACAGGTTTAGGTGGCTCCTTGACTGTATGATAAAATATAGTGAGAGTGGCTATAGAAGTTAGAGACTGAAGAAAATATGGATAGACAGAATACCGATCATATGGAGGTGTGGGATGAGAGTGGTTGAACCTGAATAGTTGTGAGAGAAGGGGGAAGAAAAAGTGTGAAGGTAGAATAGTTAAGTTAACAATGCCGAATACGTAGTAAAGGAACCTGAATTGCAAAAGTCACTTGACTCTTTGGCTGAAACTACCGTTATCAGTTGATATAGGTTTACAACCTTGACTTATGGGATAGAATAAAAAAGATCGGTTGCCGGTTGGGATGTCAGCGCCATAGATATATACAACAACTAGATAGCCGTCTCCTTTTTGTCATCGAAGTCGACCCTCCATTTACAAAGCAGGCAATGTTTACAAAATAATATTATCATAGTATATATGTATATAAATAAATGTAAACATTGCCTGCTTTATAAATGGCGGCCGATTTCAACATTGGTCACAACTGTAATATAAAGACGGCTATCTAGTTGTTGTATATATCTATGGCGATGACATCCCAACCGGGAATTCTTTTTTTTTTTGGGGGGGGGGGGGAGGGGGCTAAAGGAGCAGTTGCTCCAGGCGGCATGGACGGCCAAATAATTAAGAGTGGCAAAAAAATGTCATTTGTAATATAATAAAAATAAAATATTTAGTAGAATAAATATTAATTTTTTTTTTTAACGAATTTGCGATGTTAATATTGTCAGAATATCTAAAATCGTAATGGAATCTTATATTAGAACTTATAGGTCTACTTATTTTAAGAGAACGCTGTTTGTGGACCTTGTTTTCGTAATAACCTATAGTACCTGCCAGTACTGGCCAGTATCAGAAAATTATATTGTACTCCCAAAAAATAAGTTATGTACCAGATTATATACATTTATTCAGGAATGTAGTCTTACGTACTACTCCTGATCACGCTGTTGAATTTGCCCAAATGTTATTGTCTGACGACGCTGAACCTCTTGCTAATATTAACCAAGTATGTAACTAATAGTTCTAATTATTTCTTGTATATTTTCATTTATGGACAAAAATTTATTTAACAATTTAAAATGTAGATTGTGGATATATTTATCGAGCAAAGCATGGTTCAACAATGCACTAAATTCCTTCTAGAAGCATTAAAACACAACCGTGAAGCTGAAGGCCCGTTACAAACACGTTTACTTGAAATGAATTTAATATCTGCTCCACAAGTGGCTGATGCTATTCTCGGTAACCAAATGTTTACTCATTACGATCGTGCTCATGTTGCTGTTTATGATCCGTTCTATAATTAATAATTTGACACCCATTCAATGTAGAATGACGATCAAACATTTTTACAGGTGTAGAGTCTCCTGAAATTTAATACAATTTAAAAATATAGGTAATGCGTTTCAGATGTAAAGAGAAAACTTACCTTCCATACTCTAATGGAAAACCGATGTTTCTGTAACGAGAGCTAATGTATTGGGAGAAATCCATTTCCAAAAATTATGCATAATGTGAGCTTTCATTTTACTCTTCATCTCAATATTAAAAATCTGTAAGGTCTTTTGAGCTAAAATAAAAATAATTATATTTTTTGTAAGAATGTTAAAAAAATCAAAGGCAATGCAATTCTTACATGCAGCTGTTCCTTCAGTACCAGCTTTTCCTTTCAGTGCAATTACTTTGCTGGCTGGATTCATTATGGCTGAATCTGCAGATATTGGACGCCTTATTGGATTTTGGGGATCAGCCATATCAACAATAACAACTTGTGCAACATCGCCAGTCTTTTCACGCACACAGATATATTTATCTGATTCCATGGTGAGAGTATTAAAACTGATGTTTGACTGATTGATGCCCACATTTGTAAGCTATAGAAAAATTATGAAATACATTTTTAAAAAAAAAATCAATTAGGCAGGTAGGTACACAAGAAATTAATGTTGAAGTTCAAAGTTCAAACATAATAGGTAATTATGGGTACTAATAACTGTCGAGTATTATGAATCACTTATTATAATTCCATCTGATATCATGCCTACAAAACCACAATAATGTAGAGATAATACTGTACCTATCATGAAATTCCCCTTGACCCACATTTAATTGGATTAAAATGTTCAACATAATAACTTTGACAGAGACACATCGCAGCTACAGCGACGACAAAAGATGGTACACTTCTAAAATACAATAAACGCCCGTGACGGTGAATCAACATGTAAACCCAACATCTGGCAGGTGATAAGCATACATGAACTGTCATTAGACATCAAATTTTTCCAAGATAAAAAACAGACAAAAGCTAAAAGTTGAGAGGTGCGTGGGAAAGCCCGTTGAACCCACGGTATTATTACTTCAACACCTACCTATTACTTTAATATTATTGTGAATTGAGATGTAAAAGACGATCGCCGATAAAATATTTGTTGCTGCGTTGTTGTAACCACCCGCAAACGGCGCGATAAATTATGTAACCTATTAATAGGCGGCGGGCGGATCGGTCGCGATAGGGTCGGCGGCGCAGAAACGTTTGGGTTTTACCGGCACGATCGTTTGGGTTCCATTAAAAATACGCGAAACGACGAAACTTTTCGGCGCTCGGCCTCGTCTCCGCCGGGCAAACCGTAGACAAGGGGGACCTGCACAGACGACGATAATTGCCCCTACACGAGCACAGTGCACTTGTAATTCTCTTGTGTTCTTGTAACCTAACCAATATTTGTGTTATAATATATTTTAATTTATTACTGGATAACATTTTAAGATAATTTATTTTAAAAATCTTTATCTAGATATTATTTTAGTGAGCTATTCTCAACACTGGAATCATTTCGCTTAAACATTTGATATTAATTTTTTACGATGGATATTCAACAGTTAGTTAATAATTTCTCCTCAAACGATTTTTTATATTTTGTTGTAATTCAAAAATCAACTATAAATAGATACTTCAATTTTTCACCAAATGATTATGATAAAATATTACAACTGTCTAAAGGTACCTACATGATGAAATGTTCAAAATATTTCTACTTTTTTGACCTATTTAGAGACGGGTCTAAAAGCTTAAACAATTAATACAAGGTTCCTCATAAGTTGTTATAATAGCAATTTTTAAATAATGAAGATACATTATGTACGATTATTTTTTTTTTGTAAGCATTTTAAGTACAGATTTTTACAAAATTAGTCAATATACCGCGAACGTTATTTTGGTTAAAAATTTATAAAATGTTCAATTTTCATAGCTAAAGATTGGAAATTTAAAACGAGATTTCTCATGAGTGGGTTATACTGTTACCAAAAATCTAAAAAATATATAAGCACAGTTTTTTTTATAGAAATTTTAAGTTGAAACTTGGACGAAATTAGACGTTTTATAATGCAATATTTTACTATTAGTAAAATTAGTTACTTAAATAGCTGTAAATTGTAATATAAATATAACTTTATAGTTTATAATATCATCTAGATAGCTACCTATATTTACCAATATTATACTATTATATGTATAGGAATATATAAGAATCAGGTGAAAATTACATTGGAATTGAAACTAAAGCAATTATTTTTATTTTTATTTAATATAGGTATTACTATAGTACATTATACTCAAAAAATATTATGCAAACCATTAACCAAATAATATACATATATTTACATGGGTATAAGAAAAAAAATGTATCTAATAGTTCTATTTATTACTGAATGATATGATGTACCTACCTAGCTAAAAGCTTAAATAACTAAATCAGTGATTGTGAATATCGTTTTTAGATGATAAAAACTTGATTTTCATTTTGAGGAGGCTTTTACTGGAGATAATCTTAACTGTAATATGTTAAAATATTAAATAATGCTATATTGTAGACATAATGCGGTAAATATTATAACTTGTGAAAATATTTTTTAGATTAAAAATTGGTGGGGCGGAGGTTGCTCCCACGACTTAGTTCTAATAGCCAATATCCAATGGGGGAGGTGGCTATATAAGTAATTGTTCATTGCCACACCTAAAAAATAATAGTTCGGCGCCACTGGTCTCCAAGGAAAAAAGGATAAAATTGTCCCCGGATCAGTATGTCCCGATACCGCGCTCAGAATCACTTTTTTCGTGCAATGGTTTAGGATTGAGTTTAAATTTAACACATGCCTTACATTGACATATTTTCCTAATGTACATCTGTATAGCAATACAGAAAAGTGGTTACCTATACCTACTTTCACTCTTTAAAAAAAAATTAAATTATTGTATTTTATTTTCTATGATAGGCAGGTACTAGATATTATTTGCCTAGGTATGTTCAAAAGGTCTTACCTACTAAAACAACACCTCGGAAGTTTTTCCAATGGGAGGATCCTTCATTTTATCCATGTATTTTTTTTTTATAAGCATCCAGTCATCATTACATTCGCTTATTGTTCAATATAGGTATATTATAAACAGATTGTAAAATAAATGTTCAATTAAAACAAAAGGGGGAAGTAACTGGTAACCGCAATAGTTATTAACGGAGTTATCCGTTTCCGCCAAAAAAAGTTTGGAAACCAATGCCTTTAATTTTTAACCAATATATGTTGTGGTAATGTGGTATACTGGGATGTATAAAATAAAGTAATATAAGATTTACCTAATGATATTAATTGTAAATAATTGCGAAGACCATAGGTACCTACAGCAATATAATATCATAGAGTAATAGTACATTACATTTAGTATATTAGTACTCTAACTATATTATTATGTATTACTCTAACTCTGTGCAATATTATATACAGCGATAATTATTGTCGATAATCGTCGATGACGGAAGCATAAACTGTATAATAGTTTATTTATAATTCGCACACAATGATTATCTGACAAATGTTAAATTCTTATTATTTTTATTAGTGAATGATGACATTTCTAATATTATAATATTTTCCTGCAGTACAAATTTAAAAATGTTATGTACATCCGAAATAATTTATGTAGATGGCACATTTTTATATTGCTCTTAATTATTTACGATACATAGGTTAGTAATTAGTATTAATGCATATTATATAGGTACGCTTAGTTTTTGTCCGGTGTTGTACGTTTAAGAAATTTACTTTTTTAGAAACATGATTGAGACGATTTTCGGCAGATCAAAGAAATGATATTTTATACCATATATTCATTTAGAACATAATATAATTAAATTATACAATTTGACTTCTAATAAAGATGATTAGATATTAAAAAAATGGAATGATTGTTGCCTCTTATTTTTTTTACGGGACCCAATTTACCAATCCCGGTAAATTCTACAACAAAAAATATAAAGGTAAAAAAATGGATTTGTAAATTCCGTCAGGAAAAAATAAATATTTTTAAACCAAGAGTTCCGTAGCTGTACGACGCAAAATATAATTAGAAAACATGAAAATAATGAAATATCTATGGATGATTAATATTGATTATGTAGAAAACGTGGCTCATTAATTTGGGGATTTTGATGAAAAAAAATAATAATATATAAGTGATTTGATTGATTTAGAATTTTTATTATAGATTTTTGGATGATTTTATTTCGTTTTGTCTTTATCATTATAAACATTACTATTTTTAAGATTTTTATTAATTATATATGACATAATTATGTGGTAACTACTAACTATTAACTTAATATGTGAAATTTACATTCATTTAAATACTTATAATGATTAATCTATGTTATGAAACATAATATTGTTATTAACATGAATCATATGACACATTCACAAATTTGTACATTAACAGTAAGTAAATAGTAATAAATGTATTCTACTTAAACCTATTATATTTAATTTGTTACATTATGTTAATATGTTACATTATGACTGTCCATTCTACTGACTAGGTCTGCGCCTAGGTCGCACGCCCGTTTAAATTAATAAATAAATATTAAAAACTACTTCGTAAAAAATACACGGTTTTGGTATAAAAATATAAACTAACTTTAAACTTTTAAACTTAATAAGAACTTCTTACTTATAAGTTATAGGTAGGATGGGTTTATTAATTATAATTTTTTTTTGGGCGGAATTTACATGTACCTTTTTTCACCTGTAGTATTTTTGGATGGAATATTTATGGGCTATAGCCCATAAGCGCAAAATATGACCTAAACGCAACCCAAAGGCGCAAATCAATTATATAAAAAAAGTGTATTTTATTAAAATCGTAGTTATTATTAATATTTAATTAAGCATTTACATTGATATTGAAATTAGTTAAAAAATAAAAATCAGAATTTTGAGTATTATTTTAAATTAGTTAAAAACCACTAATGAATGTCGCGAAGCGTTGTTGCAATCTGTCGTGGAATGGCCACGAGTACATGAAGAGCATCGAGCCTTAGGTTAGTAAAATAATGTATCAGGTATACAATTTATTTTTGAGCTTTTATCCCACTACTAAGGTACAAAAGCGCAAATTCGTTCTTTTGAATTATTGAAAAAAGGTTGGTTTGCGCTTCGGATTTCACCGATGTTTATGTACCTTATTTTACCGGCTGCAACTTGTTTGCGCACAAACTTAATTTTTACCTGAAAAATCGGAACTATAGTTTGCGCACACGGTTACAGTGGCGCCCAAGATATATTTTTCAGGTGTAGCAAGAAAACATTTTACCCACCCACCTACCCCCTTAAGACTCAAAAATATATTATTTAATACATTTTATCATATTTGTATTGATAATAATATTAGTAAATATTATGGTATCAACCAATATAATCTGTGATTAATTATGAACATATTTCAAGTTTATTATTTTTTGTTATTATACCCATCCACCCCTTATTTTCAAGGTGTAGCGACCGCTACACTTAGAAATAGGGTTGTGCGCCACTGCACGGTTATATTAAATGTACTACTTACTGGTTTGCGCACACGAAAATAATTATATTTTATCTGTGATGGGCACTGATAATCATTGATAAAGAGTACGGAAATATTATATTAAAATTAAAATTATCATGCATTTTTAACTTGAACAAGTATTAAATATTATTTATTAACAATTATTAATAGGTACGCAATTATTAACATGCATTTTTAATTACACCTATTAATACATTCCTAAGTCTGTTAAGGTGGAAGGAAAATGTATAATATAAGTACGTTAATAATTTACTTATTAATAAACAAATATTAATATGCAAGGTATTAAACAATTAAAGTCTAAAAGGTAACTGTGCTCAAACCAGTCAGTACCGTCCATTTTACCGGTAGTTCATTTCGGGCGGAATTTACCATTTTATAATAAATATATGTACCTATACAACTTAACTAAATTATTGTACAATATAGGTACCTACTTGGATTTTTGGTGTGTATGTGTATGCAGTGGCGTATTTTGAAATTTTTTGTGGGGGGGTCTAAATATTAGGTACCTACAAGTTTATAATATAAAAAAAACGCATACGAGTTACGATGTAATAATTATATTATATTATATTTTTTTCTGGGGGGGGTCCAGACCCGGGGACCCCCCCCCCCCCGTAAATACGCCACTGTGTGTATGTGTGTGTAAGAGTTTGGTACTGTAGTAAGACCATGGTTGAAATATACAAGGTTATTGCATATAAACCCCTTCTCAATAAGATATTTGATGATAAAAACAAAAATGGCAGCGTAAAGGGAGCCAATAATAATCAAGTATGTATGCGCGGGATTTTAAGTTTGTTAACTTTTGTTAGCGTATTTTTGATGATAAGAAAAATTGATATTTGTAATATCCTCTTACGTAGCCATTTTGTTTCTGATGATAACAATGCAATAACCTGTATATTTTAAACATGAGTAAGACCCTCTCTGAAAATCCTTTGTACACGACCTACTCGTTTGTTTGTTAGGATTAAATATAATTTATTCCAATTTAGAAAATATCTTATATAATAAAACATCTAAAATCTAAATTCAAAATCATTGTTATGTATGGAATATATCAATAAATAATAATTATTTGATAAATTATTATAATAATAGGTATGCAGGTAACGTAACTAAAATACAAATCGCAAAGTAAATATACACAATAGTCAATAAATAATAATTAATAATATAATAGCAATTAAATTTTTTCAGTGTTTCTGATTAATATATGACTAGTGAAATTATTATTAATTTTAAAAAGTACATATTAATTATGTTTAATAATTATTATAAATATTCTCTTATACTATCCTAATATACTATTAAAATTCATTAAGGGTTATTAATAAATGTAAATTGTTCCATGTACAATGTACATGTTACTAGCTAACATGACATTATTTCTAAATAGTGTACCTATATGTGTGACTATAGTTTTGGTTGTTTTGGAACTAACATGGAATAGCATTTTAAAAAAAAAACACAATTCTAATCAAAATACAAATTGTGGTCAAAAGCATAAATTAAAATAATAATGATACATTTTTAAGTTTAATATAATAATTGTTGATAAAAAAATGAAAAATAATTATAGCTATTTTATTTTCATTACACAATCATTAAACTTTAAAATCTTGTAATTGATTATTAGTTTTTCTGCAATTAGTGGACATTTCAACTGCATCTTTATTTTTGGTATTGGAACTATTTCCAGAGGTGGTGCTATTAGTTGTTCTAGTAGATGCAGTAGATGTCTTAAAAAGTTGAAATCGCGGACAAAGTTTTTTGTTTAATAAATTTAAAACACGTTTTTTACAAACAAAAATTAAGAAAATCAACACTCCTTGCAACGAGTTCCCGATGTCTGTAACGTACCACTTTTTTTCAGAGCCATTCGAACCTGCTGCCCATGATATAATTTCCGCTAACCAATTGACACCCATGACTATGAATAATTTTAAATACAGCATGAATCTAAAATACAATATATTTCTAATTTCAAACATGATTTTTTTCAATTATATTTGTATCAAATTCATTAAGTAAGCAAATATCATAATTTCTATTGCTATTAATATAACTATAAATTATTATTGTATAGATACCTAATGTAACTATTAATAGTACAATTTTGATTGTACAACATTCAGTACTTACCGTTGTTTTTCATGGTCCACATTCCTGCGGCTTTCAGATCCACTGAGTACTCTAGCATCCTTCATATGTTTCACAATCATTATTGCCGTGTGTATAAACATCAATAGATTACTCAATAATAGAATACCAATAGGACCATAAAAATATAATAACGTGGCTTCAAATGCTAAAAAATAAATTAATAAATAATTAAAGAAAAACATGCACAAATTTGTGGTACTGATATACGACAATAATATTACGTAAGTTATTTTGAACTAATAGGTATTTTTCTAAATTTCCATTATAAAATTGCCTAAGTCAAACGCCTTAAAAAGCAGTTGTGTGGGGTTTTATTTAATTTTTATAAACTAGCGCTTAAGTTTACTATATTGATACATCTATCAGCAATGAATAATGATGACAAATTTGTGTAGGTACTTTCTAGTTTATTATTTTATATACAGGGTGTATCTTATGTCATTGTACGCGGGGTTTTTTGACGATTACGGAACGATGATATGGAATTTCGTTAAAACAAAAAAAGACGTGTTTCTTTATTTTTAACAAGCAATTTTTTTATAACAATTTCAAAATTTTTAAACACGCAGGTGTACCAATAGCAAAATCAACTTTTTTTTTTCAAATGGTAACCACTATATTTTTTAATGGATTCTGGTAAAGCTTTTTTTTCTGAACATTTTGGTAGTCGAATCGTCAATTTTGGTTTGCTAGTTTATTAACTATGGTCCTCCAAAGATTAGTAAAATATGCATTAATACTTTTAATTAAAATATTGGGTATAGGTTTAATTTACAAGCGCTAAACAATTTTTCTTATAACTACCATTTGATACATTACAATAGTTGAATCGGTAATCTAATGACACCCTCAAAAAAAAAAAAAAAAAATAACAAACACAAATGTCTGTAAACATACTCCATTATTTTTATTTTAACATACGATCATAAAAATCAATATTATTATTTTAATTTATTATTATAATCGTAATTAATTACTTTACATTTTTTTCATCACAGTTACTTTTCTTACAATATCATTGTGTTTGTTATTTTATTTTTTTTTTTTTGAGGGTGTCATTAGATTACTGATTCAACTATTGTAGTGTATCAAATGGTAGTTATAAGAAAAAATTGTTTAGCCCTTGTAAATTAAACCTATACCCATTATTTTAATTAAAAGTATTAATGCATATTTTACTAATCTTTGGAGGACCATAGTTAATAAACTAGCAAACCAAAATTGACGATTCGACTACCAAAATGTTCAGAAAAAAAAGCTTTACCAGAATCCATTAAAAAATATAGTGGTTACCATTTGAAAAAAAAAAGTTGATTTTGCTATTGGTACACCTGCGTGTTTAAAAATTTTGAAATTGTTATAAAAAAATTGCTTGTTAAAAATAAAGAAACACGTCTTTTTTGTTTTAACGAAATTCCATATCATCGTTCCGTAATCGTCAAAAAACCCCGCGTACAATGACATAAGATACACCCTGTATAACATCGAACACACGTCAACTTCACAAGTATTCGAAAGTACATCGATAAATACTGTAATATGTACATAATTACCTACTATTATTGTTATAATATAAAACCTGTCATTATTATTTTTACTGTACAGGGAAAAAAAGTGAGGGAAATTTATTCCTTTTAAATATAAATTTAAAAAATATGCCTATTTACATTTTTTTTAAACTCAAAACCTAACTAATAATAACACATTTTATTATGTACACTAATATTATCTGTTTAAAGTAAATATTTAAAAAAAATTTAAAATTGCTTAACTAGAAAGCAACATAAAATATTAATTTACATCGCATGTTGTAATAGTGACAGATATTTCTCAAATAATATTATGACTTCAATCATATTGGTTTGTACAGAACTCAGCTTGATTCAAATATAAATAACTGTCATCAAAAGTACTTACATGCAAACCAACAACTCCTAATTCCGAACTCTGGATGAATTGCACCAGCTGGTAAGTATTCCTCCATGCCATATGTAATTATTGTTATTAAAGCGGTACTTCCCCAAGCATAAATGGAATAGATTATAAACTTTTTTGCTTCATGTTCTTGTATATTTCCTCTTAATGGTCTAAATCCACTAAAAATTGAATACATAAAAAAATTAAATTATTTTAACATTTTAATACTTATTTATTTTATTATTTTTAATCCAAACGTAATTTCTTGTAGTCAATTTAGATGTCTATAGTCTATGCTTCATTAATATTAAGTTTAGTACCTACATAATAATTTTTTTTTCAAGTTTGGAAGTATTATATAGTAATTTTTCAAAAAAAAAGTTTAAAATAATAAAACATGTTGTTTCTATTTACATGAAAATGTAATGCAATATCTAATATAATATATTCTAAAATACATTTTTTTTTTAACTTCTTATTTATAAATATTTTAAATTTGAGAGTTATTCATTTATTCAAACTAACATATTTAAGACAACTTATAACAGATGTGTTACCATGATAAAATTAACATTTTAAAAGGATGTCGGTGCACAATTTGTTCTCTCTTTGACCCACAAGCTGCATATAGCAATAGCCAATAATTTATGTTTAGTAGAACCAACTCTGTGTTATTAGTTATTACTTTTAATAGTACAGCGAATTTTACTATAATCAAACTTTAAGTTCAGAACAGTACCTGTGTCATTATACGTTGGATTTTTTTTACGAAATTTTAATTTTTAAGTAATTTAGAATCAATAATGTTAAGTTGTAATAAATTACACACAAATTAAAATATCATAAGAAAGCCAACTTAGCGACACACTTAAATAGGTAATGTTCTTAACTTTAAGCTTAATAATAGGTGCATTCGATACAATACTAAAAGTAACAACATAGGGTTGGTTCAGCCGAACGTGAATTTATAGCACGCGGGTCATGGAGAGAAAACAAATAGTGCATCATCCTAATAAGAATTGTTTACAATACAACTATACATTTGTGCTAATTAATTATCTTTTTTTGCAATTTTTAGGTGTATAATAGACAATAGTGTAGAAATGTTGTAATGTAGTATAAATATTCAAGGGCGTTGAGGGGACGGGGTATGCCCCCTGCCGATATTATTGTACATAGTATGATGGCGGGAGCTCTAATATACCTACACGTTATATTACCTTGTAATGTCATAATATATAATATTATACTGTATATTATTTTATTGAACATGTTGACAATTTACAACTTTTGAGGTTTGAGTTTAGATAGCATCTCCAATTACATAGCCAATAATACGTATTATATTAAATACATCATAATAACGAATTATATATTTCTATAGAATTTATAATGGATAAAGTAAATTAACTACTTATTATACATCATATCAAACTATAAATAAGACTAGAAACAATTGTGAATAATGCATATCAAATTATTATTTTTTTTTATATAAAAATATATTAACTGTTAATAGTTAACTATGTTAATATAATTTATTTATTTCATTACTAAAAATAAAATATTTTAATATTGTAGTTACTTCACACATAGTATAGTACCTACTAATATTGTTATTTGTCCTAATGTTATTGTGTTACTTAAAAACGATTCACTAGATATAGTATAAACACTAAAATATATAAAAAATAGATATATCAATTTGAAAATAAAAAGAGCATTTAGTTCCATTTCCAATAAACCAGAGAAAATTGTTTTCATTGCAAATAATATACTAAAAGTAAATTATATATCTGTACCGTAAACTGGGGTAACTTGAGCCCACTTCCAAATATCCATATAGATTTGCCCTCCAACCTACTTTGGACCAAAGTTAGCCTATGCTAAGTTAATTACCTAATACCTGAGAAGTAATTAAATACATTTTTATGGTAAAACAAGCTAAAATAACGAATAAAAAGGCCATTTTTAGGAAAAAGATATTTTGTCTGATATGAACATTAATGCACTATAAATAAAAATGTACACTGCTTACTCAAAAAAATTATATTTGCTTTTAACAAAAAAAGAGAAGTTACTAAACAAAATCTTTTAGCTCTATAGAACACGGAAAAAACTTCGTTTGCCTTATAAAATCATGTAGTCCAGGGTAACTTTGACCCACCAAATAACATTGGCCAAAGTTCCCCGACCTCGAAAACGTCTTCTAACAAAATGATTTTTTTTTTTAATTTTTGTTAAATACTTTATTAGTACTATATATTGTGTGAGATAATATAAGAGTTACCGAGTTCTACGACGTTTGAATCTCTTCGGACCAAAAAAAAGTTAAAACAGGTCACTTTTATGGTACAAAATAAAAATTTATCGTTAACAAGACAATTAGTGATGAACGAGGATTGGATTAAGATACCTATACCTATATCCGTGGATGGCAGTATAGACAGGCCCAATTCACGTTTCCACCGGGTCGAGATAGGTGGCATTATAAAAGCTATATATAAATACTATGAATAAAGGCTCTCTAGCTAGGTGGAACATTTTGGTTACTGAGTTACTCTGACACGGTACAAAATATATCTATATATTTATACTTAAGGGGACTGGAAGCGGCGATTTTCTGTCTTTGTCTAACACACGTGCAACATAGGATTATAGACGTGTTCTATTTCCAACGTACCGATTAATCTAGTGAATCGATAAGAACTCTGTAAACAGATTTTAATTTGTCGTCAAGTCTACTTGAGATCGACTTCCCCACATTTTTGATATTATCCCCCAAAAATCATAAAAATGATATATTAAAAAGATTTAAAAAATTGCCATATTTCAATTTTTGGAGAAGTTTTAATCAAAATATCAAAAATGTGGGAAAGTCGTTCTCAAGTAGACTTGACGACAAATTCAAATCTGTTTTCAGAATTCTTATCGCTTCACTAGATTAATCGGTACGTTGGAAATAGAACACGTCTATAATCCTATGTTGCACGTGTGTTAGACAAAGACAGAAAATCGCCGCTTCCAATCCCCTTAACGGGCTGCATTACTGCGCAATGTCGACTCGTGAATATATATCAATGCTTTTGGTATGGGATGGGCCGGTCTATAAGTAAAAGGTCTACGGCGGATAGAGGCAAAAACTTTTCACATTCGGTATTTCGGTTACCAGTGTTGTTAACTATAGGAAACTACCACAACATTTTTATAATAGTCACATGTCTTATCACAGCATACAGGAGTATTTAAAATTCCAACGGTGGGCCCAAAGTTACGCCGATAGCTGGTTTACGGTACCTATATTAAAAATTTAAAAATTATAAGCACTAATATATAGAGAAGGCTATAAAAGGCACCCAAGTAGTATACATTGTGGTTCCCACCTCCAAGGTTCTATAATTTTGGCCACTTGCCAACATAACATGAATAAAATAATAAATAATATGTAGGTATTCATATAATTACATAGGTACTTAATTGTTTGCGATAAAGAAAGTAAACATTTTTTTTTTTGCATAAACATTTTACTTTTTTAACAAATAATAAAAATATGGGAATTATTAAACTGAAAATTCTATATTTCACATTATACACTCAATTACATGAGTTAATTTAAAGTAAATAAGGATATTCAACTGGTCTAGAATCCCCCCCCCTCGCAAAATCTTCCTTTTGTATTTTATTTTAATTAATGTATTATTTAGATTTTATTCATGGATAATTAAAAACACGTACAAATGTACATATTCTGTGCAAACTGTTATTACGAAATACAGAAAACCGCCGACTAAATAAAATGTATCATTGCATATTTTATCATAAATTAAAAACAAATTAGTTTACAGTCTTAACCATGGGCGTTCTCACGGGGAAGGATATGGGGGATAGATTCCTCCCAAGGTACTTTATTTTCTTACATACCTATTAGTATTTAGTAATACACGTTTTGTCTACTTTTGATATGTGTTTGTGTTTTCAATATTGACTAGGTAGTTATTATTTTTATTATTTTTTGATATTTTTCTTTATTGTGATTATTGATTCCACCAGCTATAAACAATATTATTATTTATCACTGATAAGGATAACAAATAACAGGCAATTCGTTTTCAATTGATTTGTACTGTATTTTTGTAAACGATCACAACGTCAACTATAATACCCATTCTCAGCGACAGAAAAATTGTATAGGTAAGATACACAGTGATAAAATAAAATAAATAATTTGAACTGATTTATAAAGTTGTTTTATAGTTTAAATAAAAAGTACAATAAAAATGACTTGAATTGGTTATTTAATATTATTATCATTATTAAGATTCTGAGCGGAGCGAGGGATCTATTGGTTTTGCAATGGTTTTTTTTTTTTTATCCTGTATACAAAGTTTCTACTAGAAGGAGTTCTTTGCTTTCAACATATAGTATCTTATCTTTTAGCAAATTGGATCAAGACGGTACTTAAGACAGGTAATTTTTCGATTTTCTCAATATTTATTTAATGACACAGGAAAAACCACCGAAAAATTACAAAAAATGGCTAAAAATGGGATTATAATTTCTAACCCTTTGTTTATCACGATAGAAACCAATAAAAATAAGGGTTTTGTCTCACAACTCCCATATTATAATAATAAATATTAAAAAAGCGGGTAAGTGGATGTCGCTCTGCTGTACAGTAGGTTACAAGTGTGTCATTGTATAATGGATTGTATTAAACTTGAATTCAATGATATATATCATTGTATCAGAAAAACGATTCTGAGCGGAGACGGTTTGTCAGTCTGGATATTTTATAATATGATTAATGGTTATTATTTATTATATCATGTAAGTTGAATTAATATTATAATATTATTATTTTTTATTCGTTTCTATGGTGATCAACAAAGCGTTAGAAATTAAAATCCCATTATCAGTGGTTTTTCGTAATTTTTCGGTGGTTTTTCCCGTGGCATTAAATAAAGGCGGGTTTCCACTATACACGTACACGTTCACGTCCATACAAATCATTTGCTGTGATTGGTTGGTTATGTTAAGTTACCACACGATTAACCACGATACCGTGTTGTTGGACATAGCTGAACATTTTTCGTGTACACGGCAAACGTGTATAGTGGAAACCCGCCTTTACTATTGATAAAATTACCTGCCTAAAGTACCATTGTAACCATCTTGATCCAATTTGCTAAAAGATAAGGTACTATATGTTGAAATCGAAGCACTATTTCTGGTAGAAATTGTGTATACAGGATATAAAAAAAAATAAAAAAATAAACACTATTGTAAAACCAATAGCTTCCTCGCTCCGCTCAGAATCTAATAATGATTTTAGTTATTTTGTTGTAATTTATAAATTATAATATTAATTCGACTTACAGGCTATAATAAAATATAATAAATTAATAACAATATAAAATACCCTGACTGACAAACCGTCTCCGCTCAGAATCGTTTTTCGTATACAATGACATGATATCATTGAATTCAAATTTAATACAATAATCCATTAACCATTATACAGTGACCAACTTGTAACCTACTGTACAGCAGAGCTACATCCACTTACCTGATTTTTTAATATTCATTATTATAATATGGGAGTTGTGAGACAACCCTTACGGCTTATTCTGTAACCAATTTTTTCACCCCCCTCCATTGAAATATCCTGAGAACGGCTCTGGTCTTAACAATATGTGTATAATATTACTTTTTTTTATAGAAATACAATATTAACTATTACCATTTACCTATATTATCTTAATTTGCTAATCATCATGCCTTGTGGTAGTATATTTTTTAAGATTCATTTTTATTTAAACATAGTAGGTAGTATTTAAACAATTAGTTACACTAATACCAAGACATTGTTTAACAGTAACAACTACAATAATCGAAGTTTGGTTTTTGATTGTTTCAATTGTTTCAGTTACAGACTTACAGTAGTCCTACCCAAACATACATCTAAATTAGGAAAAGGAAAATAATAAAGTATTATAATTTTACCACAATCAGGAGGAGATAAAAAGCACCAGAAAATGAGATCAACATAATTCTTAAATAGACAATAATATATAATATATAGTAGAAGTGTATTATACTATAATATAGCCGATTAATTCGTAAATGTATGATATCTGATTTATTTATCTATCTAACATATAAAATCTATAAAATCTAAATAATGCACAAATACAAACTGAGCCCCCGCTCAAATTTTTCCCCGGATATTGTCTGCAAGATTCTAGACCAGTACGGCAGAACCTACCCCTTATTAAACAATATTTTATTTACCTGAAAGTCCACCATAAGTCGAAACACATAACATTAAGCCAGAAAAAACTTGCCAAAAAAGAGAATTGAACAGCATACGCTGAAACAAAGAAAACCCACAAAATTATGTCATTAATATTATATACAGAGTTATCACCACCCACATATTATCCATTAACACCTATTGAATTTATTCAAATTCTGATTTTTGGAATTTTTAAATAAAGGTACTTTAGGACCATACCATTTTAAATTCTTGGATTTTTAGGAAGTACTACTATTAAGGCGTATTGTGGTAATACAACATTTGTTTTTATATGAGACCCCCCCACCCATTTACTGTGTAAATTATTTAGTGGTTAATTTTTTTTAAAGATTTTGATTACCTACCTAATTGAAATTTCGAACGAGTTGTTTCTTAGGTATTAAAATGTTTATAGTAAGGATAATTAATAGGTAGTCTTTAAAAATATAAAATATGTAATATTGGATACTTGGACCATTTTTACAAATTATATACCTATATTGATAGATTAATAACTATAAGTTACTAAAATGTTCGAAGCAGCATAGCCAATTATCATGGATCTATTGTCCTTGGTTCAAATAGTGAAATAAATCAAAAAATATTCGTTCTAATTTTGATTTTGATACGTCAAAATGTTTAGAAAAAATATCTGCTAAATAGTTTACAGTAGTAAAAGGGGTTTTCGTTTGACAAATAGAGCTCCATAGGACAATCCTTTTAAGTAGTACAAACGATCTCAAGAATTTGAAATAATGATCTTAAGTTTATTTATAAGTTCTAAAAATCAGATTTTCAATGTTTTTTTGAAGAAAAAAGGGTTGAGCATGGTGGAGATCAAAACATACATATTAAAAATGGATGTAATTAAATTACATATTGTAGGTACAACTTAAATAATATAATTATTGTTTATGTCTTTAATTTCTGAAAATCACCTAATTCTGAATGTTTTTATTTTAAAAACGTACTTTAGACGTATAAACGTATAATTATCAACTGACGCAGCAAAGATCACTACTATACGCGTGCCGCGTGCTGGAAGTGTACCAAAACATAGTCGGAAAAATATGTACCGATTTGCAACTCTCCAAGTCTTATCATTAAATTTGGGTAAATAATTTTATATACATGTCAGTGTAGACTGCGAGGATAAAACAAGTTAAAAACATGTATACATTTAAATCGAAATATTGGTACCTAAATTCAAAATATGTTTTTTATATTGAATATCATGCAATATAAAATTCAATAGATTATACAATTTAAATATTAAATTGTGCATTTTTCACACTTAAATCAGATTTCAGACCACGGTCTTACATTATTTCAGACCAACAACAACTGCACCGAGGCACCGTGCCAGGATTTGGGAAGTCTTGGTTTTATCAAGCAGGTAACAACATACTTTGTACAAAACAACTTCGCTTTACAAAAATCATCAGTCATTGACCATATGTGTCAATACAACTGCTATACCCAAGCCTCGTCGTAAATATTTTGAATAAGCAAATGTGTTATTGATATATTATATATAACATTTTGTACATGAATGATTTGATTTAAGAAACTATCCAACAGTATAGTATCTACTTATGACGTGAATGATCGTAAATCTTAAATTTAATTTTCAAACAGTTTTGGCAAGATCATTCATTTGGATTTTTATTTTATTTCATTGTTTGGATTACTTAGTCCTAAAATAAAATACTAAAAAATTCTTACATAAATATTTATGAAAACACCTACATTACACATTGTGAGAATATTTTGTTGTTTTTTTTTATTGATATAATAAACGGCATATTCGGCCTATTTTAATTCAAGAATTGAAAAAAATATTTAGCTCTATGTGCTTTAGTGATTTTGTAATAACTCTATTGTTGTACCTACAAATATCACATATTTAAAACTAAAATTGATTATAGTTATTTTTACAGCTTAAAAAATCTATTTATTATATAATATATATTAGTTAAAATAAAATAAAAAAAATATGTGAATTTTTAAAATAAACTGAAAATCATCTAATTGTTGTCAAACAGTTAATTATTATGATGTGTACCATGAATAAGACCTTGGTGTACATGGAGCTTTAAACTATTGTTTTCACACTAAAAGCTATAATAGCCTTAACATTTTCACACCTTAATAGTTAATTTCCTGGAAAGCTACTATTTTCTGTATGATTGGTATTAACAAATTCATTTTTGAACTTATTTGTTTTCAATAATATATTTTTCATCAAGCTTATGTTAAAATAATGAGGTAAATTAAAGTTTTATCGGTTGATAATCAATATTTTAGACTTTAGATTTAAAGTATGTAAACTGTATACTTTATGTGTATAACTGATAATATATAACTATAGCAATAGAAGTTAATTTCTTTTACATTAGGTATATAATACATAGGTATTTATTGTAATTTAATGCATTTTTTAAGGATTCAAATTGTATTAGTTGTTATTTTTATATAATATCCTTTTGCATCATATAGGTACCTAGGTAAATATTATTGAAGTAAATCGTATTTATAATGTTTAAATATATGTATATTAGCTTGGGTAGCTCATTGCTCATAACTAGGCTTAGGGACTTCTAGCATTTGCATACTTTTTTAAATTATTGTTTAATATAGCAGAGTGCGAAGTAAATTTGTTTCTCGCCATGATATCAGATCTAAAATTTGAATGTGCATATTTTGCATATTTTGACAAATTTTTCAAATTTCAAATTAAAAACTATAGATACAATATATTTCAACCGATCGAAAAAAAAACTACCTGCCAACTACCTCTCATATCTTGTTATAATTTTTGTGTAAGTATAAATAATACTTTAAACCCGAATCGACCCTATAACCCGCTGGATATCGACCGGATGTCGATAAAGATAATAGTCGATATAGAATAATAGATTATTTTTTCAGTGTTCAGTTCAGTCGATTATTATCCGTCGTTGTTTTTGAGTAAAAAAATTATTATTTATTGATTATTACTTATTATTATTTAAAAAAAAAATTATTTTAAATTATTAATATTTAATTCTCGGCATTATTTTTCAAAATTTTAAGGTAAATATTTATTTTTTCAAATTTAGTTGTTGCATATTCAATAATAAAAGTTGTATCTTTGATTAATAATTCTTAGTTATTGTTTATTATTTATTTATTATTAGACATACATTTTAATTAATAACTTTTTAAGTTAAAAGTGAAATTAACCAAGATTTAGTGGTCATTTTTTTTTTTTTTGTAATGCATATTTCAATGATTTTAGAAGCATATTTGTTTATTTTTTAGTGCTATAAGTCCCTAAGCCTGCTCATAACTTTGTAGGTACATTCATTTTCTAAAAATAGTAATATAAAAACAAATACAAAGTACCAGTGAATTTTACCTAATTAATACATTTTATAAGTGGATTTTTTAGCCATCAAAAGCCGTCCAGCTCAACGTTGGCACATGTTTGTCTGAATATTATTTTATCACCATATGTAACAGTTATTATTGCGTATTTGCGTGTTACTATTATATTGTATAATATTATTGTAGTTGGGTATGTATTAAATACTGGGGTTATGAGGGTTATGTTATTAGATAATAATGATAGTTTATTGTGTTAGCAGATAGCAGTATATGCTGCATAAATAATTTTAATGAATAAATTAATTAATGTAAAATTCAAAATGTGTACATTAAAATAAAAATATGTTAGTACAAATATTTTTATTGCGTAAACAAAGTTTGTTATAGATCATAAATTAAAAATAAAATAAAAAGATTTACTTACCTAAAAACACGCACCATTCTTCAGTAACATAATTGGTAACGAATTGAACAGTTATTAGACTGGTGTAGGCCACCATTAGCGTTGCTACATGGCACATTAGAGACTTTCCGTGCAAATTCCGTAAGTCTCTAATGAGCGCATAAACTAGGAAAGTTGAAAACAAAAACGGTAGTGATAGAATCATTCCGATCGTATATAACATATTTCCGCCTGTTGCTTCGTTTTCCATTTCTGGAGGAGAACAAACAACTGGTAACGTTTGAAAATCGTCGTCGGCAAATGATTCCAAACAAAATTTATCCGGTGCAGCAATTATAGCTCCAGATTCATTCAGTAACCACCCCGTTTTGGTTATTTGGAAACTATCAGTTTTATTCAATGATGGAGTCAATCGGTATTTGTCACCACACATCAGTTTTCCATAGACTAGATGAAACAGGCTTGTGTTATATACACTGACCGTCCCGTTTTCATTTACAGACTCTGGAATCTAAAATATAAACTAAATTAATTCTTCAATCTGGAAATGATATAATTTCAAATTAGTATGTAAGTATAAAATAAAAAAAAACATTTTTCAATAATGTATAGTTAGGCATCAATGAGTACGTACATGTGGAGAACCAATGATGACCTATTAACCTCAATAGGTTATATTATATTCAACCGGGAAGGCTATAATAATGAGGATAAGGATTGGATGTGCAAGACATATTCACTATATCAGGAGTGCCGCAGAAGAAAAAATGACTAAAAATAACTTATTTGTATAAGCCAGATGATCGATAATCAAGATAGAAAGAAACCCTTGATACGACCAAGGAAAGGTAGTCGTGTACATCAGGACCAGCTGCGTTGATAGGAGTATGGTCAGAGTAGATAACTCGGAATATACGATGAATGATAATATATGCCCAGAGAAGTGGATATCAATGGGAAAACGTGGAAGTTGCCTATATTAAGCATAAAATATTTTTTAAAAACCGGTAGGCATACCTAGATGTTTTTAAACTATTGTTATGCATTGCATTATATTATAAGTTCCTAGGTGGGCATATCCTATAGTCTATACATACAGTACACTGTATATATATTAAATATATATTATAATAATATGCCCATATAGTATATAGTATATACTATGTGTCTGTAATCTATATAGTAAATATTATAATCTTAAATAATATTATAATAATATATTCATTGCATTTCGACTAAAGACTCTATAAGTTTTTATATATTTAACTAAAATTAATTTTATGGATTCTTTGAAGGTAATAATAAATTGTTTTTGTTTCCTATATTATTTGATTATTAAAAAAACTATTTTTTAGTGAGCAATAATTATTTATACCTACAGTTTTAAGTAAATTAAATAATTAGTTTGATGAATATGTTAATCGGTGTTGACGTTTTGAATATGATTAGTGATTACCTAATACTCAATAATCTTGAAAAAAAATTAATATTATGAATGAACATAATATAAAGATAAAAATAAAGATATTATGTAATTACTAACAATTAGGTATGCAATTAATTTAGAAAATTAATTTTACATATGGATTAGCTGATCTTTATTTTCATTTAAATTTGCTATAGTATTAAATATTATTCATAGGTTCAGCACGTTCATTCTCTATTTTTACTACGTTAAACTATTTCTCATAAATAATTAAAAAATGAATATTTGTAAATCTCATGCAACACATTTTGCTTATCGCCCATATATAGTTAGTCATAACTATTAAAAAAAACGAAATTTGCATATATTATATTGTTACTTCAGACTATACTTATGAATTATGAGTTGTAACAATTGTGTATAATTATATAATTATGTTTAGGTGTAGGTCATAGGTATAAATGTATCATAAACAAAACTATTCGGTATTTGAATCTATATGGTTCAAAGTTAAATTTAAATTAATTTTACGCATTGGAGAATTCTACCCACCCAACTTAGGACGACGAACCTCCAATATTTGTTAACCATTATAATACACATACAATCAAGAATATCTTGGTGAAAAATGAATTTGAAAACTAATGGCCAAAGTTAATGTTTTTATAAAGCTTAGCTTCTGATTAGTAATTATACATCATTATTCATTTTTATTAATTGAATACACGTATGTAATAGAATATTTGTAACTAGGTATTTTAGTATTTTGTATAACATTATTATGTTTTCTAGAAAATAAAAATAAACCAAGGACAAAATGATACGCAATTATTGAGTATTTAGTTTTAATATTTATTTATTGTTCGTAATTTTTAAAATTGGATTTGGCACACAATTTGTTATGTAGTATAGACTATAGGTAATTTTAATCAGCTATGTCAATCAGTAGGTATTCGGGTGCATTTCTAAGCTAAAACGATATTGTTTATTATAAATATCAACGTATTGACGTGTAAAATATTATAAAGATAGATATGGAAAACACATTTTAATGTGGGACAATGGCGTAACGATCCTTCCATACAGTACACAAGAATGCTGAATGCCTATCAGTGGTTAAAAATGTTTTGAAATTGTATAATGCATTTACACCATTTACTAGTAAACACGTATCTTTTAGTTTTCACAAATTACATAACGTTTAGTCTTCGTAATATAAATCGTGGGACTATAATATTATGGTATCACACCTACGTAAAATCTTCAGCAAAAGTTTTAAAACAGATTATTACACATACTTCTGACGATATTGTTACTATTCCTATTATTGCTATAAATGGTTTGCACGAAAATGCGATAACTATAATATCTCCACGCCATAATAGTCGCCAATAATGGTTTAATCCAATTTTTATCGCACGGACGAAGTGCAACAATTTTGACCGGCCGGATTATAATAATATTATGTATTTATATTAGTCTCGGTGTTCGCGTATAATTGTTATTTTGATGGAGATTCCCGCATTTACAAAACGAATGGATTTTCCCCATTATAGTTGGTTCTAGACTCGTATAATTAACAATTAATAATAATATTAAGAGGAAGTATCAAGTAACATTGCAAATTGTACGCACAGCAGAACACGTGTAGCTACGGTAGTTTCAAAATTAGAGTGAATTGACCTCTTATACAATTTAAAGGCAATATTATTATATATAGGCAATCTCATCTGTTTTTTATTATATTTTAATTTTAAAGAGAGTTGTGAGTATTTCAAGATGTACAAAGCTGTCTGCACGTCTGCTGAGCCCCGAGCGTACAATTTGCTATGTTACGCACTTGTGAGACGGAGACAACAAATATCGGTGTAACGTACTAATATTATATAATACGTATATTAAATAATATTATATTCACGATTAAATATGACTGGAAAAATACACTGATAATCTGAATGAGCAAAACGTAGGAGGCCGAGACAAAACAGGTTTCCTTGACATTCGGGGGGCAGCGTAGTGCAGTGTAATACATTAATACCATAATGTTTAATATTATTTTGCTACGAAAAAAAAAATATATACATATTATTATTATTGTAGTCGCAGCGGTGCATTACAGCAGTTATTCTTCAACAACAAAACCGGACTATGTAGCGGGTAGGCCCACTTGTTATACGGCCCTTCGACTTTCTGTTGGAAGTTTCTACACGGTTTTATCGGGGATTTTTCGATCATTCGGACTTAACCGGAAGGCCGGAAGTAGGTTATCAATTTCGGTCTAGAAAATTTAATATTTCCAAGTCACTTTGAAACGGAAAGTCGTCAATATTATATTGTTATAACAGTCCGTCGGTTTATATAGCAATACAACAGCACTCTTAAGACTTCAGCGGCGAGGTCAGCGCGCATGTATTAGTCCTGCCTGCGGCGAAGACATTGGATAGTTGGAGACCATTCAGTATTGGTTCGGCACCGATACAGATGGTCCAATTCGGTCTACATAATACGTTGTTTTTGGGACTAACTATTTTCTTTTCACTTTCCGCAGATGTACGCTATTATATAGAGCCATCTATATTGGCTTCGGGATCAACAGACATGATATTATGGACAATGGTGTCATTGCGGTTTCGCAACCTGGGAAGGTGATGTCACCGTTGAGGTTTACTGCTTATGATACACCGACAGGACGACGACAGACGTTTTACGGTAACTATTTAAAATCAAGTAACAAGTACATCAACAACAACAAACGAAAAAAATCCTGATGGATCTATATTATATATGTACGCTTAAAAAATAAAAAATCTCATACGGTCGTCTCGCATAATAATCAAGACCTTAACCGGTTACTGCGTCCCTACCTCAAACTTGTGGCCGAGCGATGCGTTGAGTGCCGAGCATTTCCCTCCTTCTACATACGCCCAGTTCTCTGGGCAGCACTTGCGAATGCACGCTCCCGTTTCGCACGTGCACAGGACGAAACCGCCGCCCTGGACCGTACGGTACGCGGCCCGCGGATACGATTTGTTCGGTTCCCCGGCCCACAGTACGTCGTTAATCTGGTGAGCGTCTTCGGGCGCCGGTCTGGAAACGTTCATCGGACACTGCTCGTTGGCAAAGGCCGCGGCCAGCAGCAGCAGAAGCAGCCACGGGAGCGGACGGCGGCCCATCTCGCATGTGCCTCGGCTTGACGGGACGGTTAACAATCGCGCGAAGCAGTCGTCGCCGGTGAACGACGAAAACGAAGACGACGAATAATAATACGACGGAATAATAACGTTTTGCCGCGCACACGTGTCGATCGGTCGTGACGCGCTCGATGCGACTGTTTGGTGTGCCTGTTGAGTGCTCGCTTGTTCGCTGTGCGGGCCGCGCCGAGGAAGGAAACCGTCGGTCGCGCGTATTTGCGCCGCCGCTACAACGATAGCCACACAAAGAGCGATGCGATTATAGTTGTAAATTTTGTAATAATAATATTATATTATAGAGAAGTAATAATGACGTTGGGCTCGACATATAAAAACAACGATTGCGTAATGTTTATTTACAATGTCACTATATCCGATATTATCTACATATTATTCGTTCATCGTAGAGGCCTCATTCCGTACCGATGACTGTGATCTATCCGTAGCCTTTATTTAGTTTATCCCCCGTATGACAGTGGCGCTGTGGCGTATTTAGGAGGGACGACGGGGGGCAATTGCCCCGTGGCACCAAATTCTGAGACCCTCAAAGGGGCACAGTGGCTAGAGGTTAAAATATTTTCAAATTGAAGTCGTAACAAAAAAATATAATTAATTTTTTTATTGGATTTGTTGAGAAATTATATTAGTGTTAACTGATAAGTGATAAACTGTAACTTTTCTTATTATATCTTTTATATTTCTATATAAATAATGTATTTTATTATATTGTCACAAGGCTAGAATCTACAACTATAATTTGTTTTGTTTAATTAAAAAGGTTGATTTTTTTATTAGGATTATAATGTTAATGGTAATGGTAAAATAAAAATGTTCTCTAAACTATTGGAAGCATTAGTGCAATAAGGGGAAATATATACATTTTTGGGTTATTACTTTTAACGGAGAGAAAACGTAAATTTTCTAATTAGAGGGGCTTAAAAGTTTTTTGTGACAATGAGTAAAAGGAAAATGAGAAAAAAAGTGGAGCCAACATTTGTGTAGGTACCTATGGCGCCAAATTCGTAAATACGCCTCTGCTGTGTGGCTGTGTGTGGCGGTCCATCGCGACCGGCGCCACCTAGTCGTGACAACGTCGCGTTATCTCCTTCCCTCCCCCACTTGTTATTGGGTGAGATCATGTTTTCGTGCAATAATCATTACTAGGTATTAGTATTCATAATACAGTGGACAGGTCATGTAGAATGTAGATACAATAAAGTCTTGTACAAGGGGGAGGGGATTTTAATGATATACGCAGAAATAAACATATGTTTTTCGGAAGTTAGGAGATCTCAACCACTACAATTTAGTACAACCTTCACACAATCATATTTTTAGTGGTATAATATTTAAAAAAAACTACATAAAAATAAAAAGTCATTGGCAAACATTACTACAGTAATCTCCAAATGTCTGTTTTATTTAATAATTTAATAAGAAATGTTTCTGGTTTATTATTAATATAAATTTGATTTATGAATTATGTATATTATATTATGGTAAAGCCAATAGGTCAGTTGCGAATATTAAAATTTCATTGAACTTTTATTAAAAACGTTATATTAATATCGCATTATAGTGTTTAGTGTTCACAATAATATAAAATGCTAGTATATAATCTGTATATTATATTATATTATATTATATTATATTATATTATATTATCTATAAACAAAATTGTCCCGCGAGTGACTGATTCATAACAAAGCAGAGCCAAACCTATTAGAGCTATTGATTTGAAATTTTCAGGTAGATTATTATTATAATTTCACCTTAAACTAAGAAAGGATTTTGTAAAATTTTGATTTTAAGGGGTTAAAATTGACAAAAATCAAAATTGTACGTATAAATTGAATACCTATATACAACGAACTTTATTATAGTTACTATTATATTATTATTAATATTATTTCCATGATAACCTTTATTATTATTTATTTTCATTATAAAACATGGTAGGTATATTATTATTACAGTTGATCTGAAATTGGAATAACTTTATTACTATATATGTCTTTATTGTCTTACAATTCAAATGGCGACAACTTCTCCATTTCCGAGGATTATGTGCTTGAAATGGTAAATCCTACTGTCTACGGTGGTTATTGTGAATTGGTTTCAGCTGGCAATACTTAACCATTTTTATTTGAAATTTATTATAGGGGTAATTTTTAAGCTAAATTAGAGGTAGATACATTCCCAGTAACTGGAAATATAAGTGGTCTTTTTGATGTTTATTTATCTATTTCTAATAATGTTAGTGTCTCAGAAAATGATAATCTGTATATAATATTATATACGAAACTGTCCTGACTTCTGATAAGCGCCTCATAATTAACGCAGGACTGAAAGTTATTAGAGCTATCATTTTGAAATTTTGAGGGTAGATTAAGAGTAGAAATTTATTATTGGTTTTCATTGGTGATTTGGGTAGATCAGGTACAGCCGTACAACTTTGCATCAAATCGAATTTTCGAACATTGCCTACCAAGGTGGATGAGTTGCACTTACTGCAGCGAGTCACACCCAAGAAGAGTTGAACAATCTCAACTTTTTAAGAGTTTCCATTATTTTTACGGGCAAAAAAGAATAATCAGCTAGTATAATATATCATAATAATATATAGTAATTACTGATTATACAGTGTTATAAATTATAAATACCTTAGATTTGGAACTCTAAATCTAAGGTATTTATAATTTATAACACTGTATAATCAGTAATTACTATATATTATTATGACTATAGAGTACCTATATTATAGACTATAGAGTGTTTTATATTTGTAAGAATTCAAATACGTTTGAACACATGACTTTTATGAATAGGTACAGAGGCAGCATTCATTTTTTTTTTATCAATGTACTATATCAACATTTTGGTTTTCTTTGCCAAAGTTTAAATTCATTTTTAAATATTTCACCAACAGTTTTGTAAAATAAAACAATACAGTCTTGTACAATGTACATTGATACGATCTTCATCATAACTGTTTTCCTTGACTATAGAGAATGAATTCTTTATAACATAATTTTCTTGCCAAAGTCTAAATTATTTTTTTAAATATTTCATCAACAATTTTTTAAAACAAAACAATAGGACGTACTGTCTTGTAACTTTTCAATATTGATACGATCTTCATCATAACCGTTTTCCTCGAGTATAGAAAATGAAAGCTTTATAACGTTTCTATTGTTAGGTGACTTCTCAATCTGTTTCCAATCTATGTAGTAACGGAATAAATATCGATTCTCAGTGGCAATATATTTCCGTGTTATCAAATTAAATACTTGTTGCTACTTTAAACTATAATGCAATACATTTGTATAGAGAATGTATACCAATCTGCCTATAGCCTATTATATTTTCAGCTGAACATCCGGCGCAGAATCATATAACTCATAAGTCATAACGTTGCAGCGAAATTGCGTTTTTCGATGAATATCTTGGTTGGTCAATGGCCCACTGCAAGTTATATTATACTTTATATTATGAGTTTAAGATGGTGTGAAATGACCGTGTCCTATTAAATGGCATATTCACGGGAATTGTGCTTTCTCCCCCCTATGACACCTAATCCTCATTATAAATTTAAAATAGAGATCAAACGATTGGTACGGTTAATGTTGACGAATTCTGTATTTTTTTTAATATTTTGTTTATTTAATTCGTACTAATGTCCCCAGTTATCTTTTTTAATTAATCTGTGTTATTAATTAGGCTACCATCCCGTATTGGCCATACTATATTAATAAAATAAAAATGTATATTAATAAAAGGCAATTGTTGTGTGTGTGTAAGTGATCCACAAGTCACAACCAAGTATATTACACTTATGGTTAGGTGCGTGACGCTGGCACCCGCAAGTTTGAAATTCAACTCAAAAATCACATCAGTAATTGTTATACAATTTGTACAAATTTGTAACCACAATTCCAAAATTTGTACACCCCCCGGTCACCCGTAAAATCCAAAAACAATTTCCGGGTGCCAGCATCACGTGACGCTGGCACCCGGATTTCTATGTATTTGGCCTATCGACCCAAAAACCACATAAGTAATTGTTATATAATTTGTACAAATTTTTAACCACAATTCCAAAATTTGTACACCCCCCAGTCCCCCGTAAAATCCAAAAACGATTTATAATCGTAATTAAACCTTTTATTGTATTCCTACTATCTTATGTTTTTTGTTTTAAATTAATGTTATTAAATGGGGCGCCCGTTAATTGATCCACATTTTAACTACCTACCTGATTCGAATAAAATATTTGTTTACATTTTACTACCCGGAGATTGGGCCACAAATTAAATCTATATTTTTAAAGTGTACCCGGAGATTGGGCCATAAAAGTATAGCACACAAATATACTATTAATACGAATATATAATAATGTTTATTAACTAATTATTATTGTTTTAACATATAAAAATACAATTCGTCAAATAATTAATTTTTTTTTTAAATACTTCCATACAGATTTAACTAATTTAATATACAACAAGGTCCATAAAATTAGTCAAATATGAAATAATTTTTATAAAGAATGCTAATACTCATTTTACAAATATAATATAAGGACCATAAAGTTAGTCAAAAAATAAATAATATGAAAAAACATTTTCTAATAGGTACATAAAAATATAATACAAGACATTTCGATCTATAAAGTCAGTCCAATAATAAATAATAATAAATAATTTTTATAAATAATGCCAATACTCATTTTACAAATATAAATAAATATATAAATATTATATAAATATAAATAATTTTTTTCTAATATAATAATTTTTTTTTATTAAATATCATGATACAGATTGTACATATTATTCAAATCGGATTTTTTCCCCTTCTTCATATTTTTTAATTTCATTAAGAATAAAAGGTGGGTAAGTGGATGTCGCTCTGCTGTACAGTAGGTTACAAGTGGGTCACTGTATAATTGATGCTATTAAATTTGAATTCAATGATACAAT